TAGTGTTAATGAGCTTCAAGCCAGTTAGAGGATTTAGACCTTTCGGGTGAACGCCAACTCCAACGAGCGAAGCGAAAGTTGTTTTCAAGGATGAAGCAGCTTTGTCTATGGCCTTGTTCAGGCTGAGATTTGAATCATATATGTTTCCAAGATGTTTGAGTGAGGATACTTCAATTATTTCTCCATCAGATGACATCCATTTACGTTTTTGAATCAATAGGGAATTCTGGTGTTTAGATTCACCGAAAGTGATGACGTTGGATTTTTGCAGGTTAAAAACAAAACGCCATTTCTTAGAGTAGATTATGGCAGTTTGAATCAACGTATCAAGGCTAAGCTTAGTGTTGGCCAGAATAGAGATGTCGTCGGCGTAAGTTGGATTTCCACATAATATGGTACCCATCTGTCTGCATAAGTTTGAGCGTTCTAAATTACATAATAATTCATCTATGTACACTGTGTAGAGCCAGCCAGCAAGAATACTTCCCTGACGGATAGATTGCTTTATAGGGAACCAGCTGCTTATGTTGCCTTTAAAAATAATTGCACCCTGCATTCTTGAGTACAGTTTTCTTAAGATGTGCCATAGTCTACCTGTTATTCCAATGTTATGAAGTTTGAAAAAGAGGCCATCGTGCCACACCGAATCGTAGGCCCGGGTACTGTCCATACATGCCATGAATGTCTTTTGGTTTAGTTCATCGTTATATCGTACAGTCTCTAGAACGTTAAACGAGCAAGTGACGCTGCACATGTTAGGAGCGTAGGCATTTTGCTGATTGCTGTTTAAGTACTTACAATTGTTTCTGGTTTCACTTTCAAGTAAGCGTTGTCGAACTAGTTTTTCCCATAACTTTTCCAAGGCAGGTAGTAATGTAATGTCTCTGTAATTTTCCTTCGCCAATCTGGATTTTGCTCCACCAACAAAACCAGATGGGTCTTCCTTTTGACATACATGTACAGGTATTTGAAAATTACTTTGCTCCCAACCCCGGGCTCCAAACATAGATTTCACGAACATGAGACACGACTCCAAAACTGTTTGCACATGAAAAACGTATGAGAACAGTTATTACTCTAGTAGCTCATGCTGGTTGAGTATGCACTTCTATGTCCAGAGATTTTCTCTTCAGAAATCATCTATGTGAAGGTCATTGATCAATTTTGGCTTGGTAACATATTTGCCACTGAAGGCGAAATAGGTCAAATGGCCACGCCCTTTTTTATGCGAATACTCCCCCCCCCATTTTTGCATCTCCGGAACCGTTAGACATAGAAGGTTGTGTGACCACACAAAATGTCCGGAATGATTTTAGCATGTTACGCACAACAGTTTTCATATATCCTGCATCATTTAAGACTGAATCCGCAGCCTCTATCTAGTCAGATCAGCGAAGGAAACAAACTTTTTTGGTTGTTGAGTTGGCCAAGAGGTCTTAGGTGAATGGGTACCCTGAACCACGAGGTTGCGAGTTTGAGACACGTGTGCTCTGTATGTTCATTCTTTTATGAGTACCATATCTACTATCTACAAGGAATGCTGATGTATTATGAGTATTGGATATCGATTGAGTTTAATTATAAACCACGAGGTTGTGAGTTTGAGACACATGTGCTTCTTGTGTTCATTCTTTAATGAATACTATACTAGTATCTATTCTACAACTAGTTATCACTAGTTTTCATGTTATGTGTGGCTATCAATTGAGTTTATTTATGCGGATTTCTACACTTTGTGCCTTTACTACATCCACAAAACACAACACATTTTATGTCCATTGCTCTGCAGGTGCATGTCTTGGAACTAATGCAGGATGTTGGGCATTTGCATGGAGGAGGTAGGTCAGGTCTTTTTGATGTGGAAGATGAGGTGAAGATGAAGCTGATGATAGAATCATGTTCCATATCAATGATGGTGTTGTGAATCATGGGGTTCAATCAGTCTTGGTTGACTCACCTGACACAGATGTCTTTGTCAACCTCATCTTCCACATCAAAAAGACCTGGCAACTACAGAAGCTGTTTGTAAAGCTTGGTAACTGTAAAAACAAGAAAACTGTTCCAGTCCACCTGTTAGTTGATCAACTGGACAACAATTTGGTATCGTGTCTCCCAGCCATTCATGCACTTAGCGGGTGTGACAGTACCAGCAAAGTTGGTCCAAAACTATCTGGTATGAAATCAGCCATGGATCTCTCGCTTTTGGAAGGGTTTGGTGTCGAGGAACTTACACCAGAAATGATTAAGAATGCAGAGAAGTTCCTTGTATCCGGTTTGAAGAAGACAGACTGTTCCACATTTGATGAATTTCGGTGGGAACAGTACCACAACTCAAAGAAAGACATTGATTTTAACCAACGACTTGTGTGCTGCTCATCAACTCTACAGGAACACATAAAGCGGGCATATCTGCAGTGCAAGATGTGGTTACAAGCTCCAATTCCTGAAGTCATCACACCAGATCCATGCCAGTATGGCTATAAAGCAACAGATGATGGTATTACACCTGTAATACTACCAGTTCCATGCAGGCCTGATTGTTACGCGGTAAACACGATACAAAAAAAATATGTCATATTCCGCAACGAATATGGCATATTCACTTGCGGTGCACGACAGATTCACCTGCTGTATATGGCATACAAACTAACCAATGAGAACGTGATACGGAAGTACGCAATTGTCAATTGCATCGATTGAACGAAATAGTAAAATGTTATTAATTATTGTAATGATTACTGAATCAGCAGTACTGTGTATCGAATATATTAACTTAGCAGAAGTATCAGTCACCAATCTCGCGTAACAAACTTACTCAATCAATCCAGGATTCATATATTAGTACTCGACGCACTAACTATAACACGCGTGTATAATGGTAATATAGCGTAGTTTTACATTTAGAGTCGATTCTCGCAACCAATCAAATCAAGGCTTTCTGTATCACGTTTTCACCTGCGGTATATGTCATATTCACCTGCGGTATATGGCATATTCCGCAAGTGAGTATGACATATTCCGCAGGTGAGTATCGGGTATTCACTGACATCAATGTATCGCATATTCACTGCGGAATATCGCATACTCAACTGCGGAATATGCCATATACCGCAGGTGAGTATGGCATATTCACCCGTATCACAAATACCGCGCAACCATGAATGTATGCCATATACCGCGTAAAGCTGATGACCTACCTCCTCCATGCAAATGCCCAACATCCTGCATTAGTTCCAAGACATGCACCTGCAGAGCAATGGACATAAAATGTGTTGTGTTTTGTGGATGTAGTAAAGGCACAAAGTGTAGAAATCCGCATAAATAAACTCAATTGATAGCCACACATAACATGAAAACTAGTGATAACTAGTTGTAGATACTAGTACTCATTAAAGAATGAACACAAGGAGCACATGTGTCTCAAACTCACAACCTTGTGGTTTATAATTAAACTCAATCGATATTCAATACTCATAATACATCAGCATTCCTTGTAGATACTAGATATGGTACTCATAAAAGAATGAACATACAGGGGAGCACACGTGTCTCAAACTCGCAACCTCGTGGTTTAGGGTACCCATTCACCTAAGACCTCTTGGCCAACTCAACAACCAAAAAAGTTTGTTTCCTTCACTGATCTGACTAGATAGAGGCTGCGGATTCAGTCTTAAATGATGCAGGATAGATGAAAAATGTTGTGCGTAACATGCTAAAATCAGTTTTTGGCAAATATCTTGAGAACCATTGACTTTTTTTAATACATATGTATTATTGACCCCCTATAATGTGGCCATTACGGACATTTTGAGTGGTCACACAACCTTCTATGTCTAACGGTTCCGGAGATGCAAAAATGGGGGGGGGGGGGGGAGTATTCGCGTAAAAAAGGGCGTGGCCATTTGACCTATTTCGCCTTCAGTGGCAAATATGTTACCAAGCCAAAATTGATCAATGACCTTCACATAGATGATTTCTGAAGAGAAAATCTCTGGACATAGAAGTGCATACTCAACCAGCATGAGCTACTAGAGTATATAGGTCAACACTCCATAGATATTCAGGTGCCCAGGTTTGGAATGATCTGCCAACTTTGAAAACATCAACTTCCATCAATTGTTTTAAAAAGAATTTCAAAATTGATATGATATCAAAATATGAATGAACATAATTATTGACAAACATATTTGTACATTTTATCAGCCAATTTTATTCTCTTTTGACTGAGTAAAGATTTTAAATGTTATTTTTCATATTTTCATGTGACTCAAATTACTAAGCCTACTGAATTAACATATTTTCATACTGATACACTTATTAAAAGTGTCTAGTGTTATCAATGTAGGCTACGCCTATATGATTTTTAGAGCTAAATTAATATTCCTCTCTTCTGCGGAATTATTCACTGATTCTACAAAACTCGGAATCTGGCCGGGATCTATGGAACGCCCCTCTGGTAGGCCTACCCGATCCATCCCCCAATTTTTAACAAGATTCCTTCCTTCAAAGACGCATATATTTTGAAATTGCCCAGAAATCACCAAATAGCATCTTAAAATGGTTAATTTTTAGAGGGAGTCAGTGAACCACGGCGGCCTTCGCACCACACTTGAAACAACAATTGAAAGATCTGAATTCATGATCTATTGTCCGGCAGACATATGCCTAGTAGACAAGTGCCCACAAATTATCAAATTAATGGTAAACTGTTTGGAGGGGGATTACCATTTGCTCCCCTTCTACCAGCCGCCTCCAAAAAAACTTACTGTCAGCTCTATTTCATTGGCACTCACATTTTCTCCACTTGTCACCTTTTAGCTAGCTTATTTTATTAGCCAAACAACAAACAATTGGCAACATATACCAACATTTTGCATGTAAAATATGAATTTATCCACATAGTCGTTCATGCAATGTCGTTTTTCAATGCTTATTTTTAGGTTTTATCAACGTGTATATTATCGCAAAATGATAAGTCCCCTGATCCCCAAACCGGAAGCGGTCTAACGAGTGTCACAAATAATCTGCCGTTCTTTCTCGTGGGGTCAAAATTCCAACTTTCATATTTTCAGTGAATTGTCCCTAAATTACACCATGGCATTCGCAACTAGTGCATTGGTAAGATCATTGAGCACATCAGCATCACGCCAAGCAGCCATAAAGCATGTAACTGTCATTGGAGGAGGTTTGATGGGAACCGGAATCACACAGGTAATTTTCTAAATCCACAGCCAAAGATAAAACACTTAATCTCGAGTGAGAAGTTCATTTGGTTAATAACGAAATAATGAAATGTTACCATGTGTCTACTTAGCAGTTTGTTCTATGTCATCCATCCTGCTAGGTTATATTGTGGAACGCAGCCAAACACGACAATGAAGGCAGTATTCTGAGGTTATAAAATCTAAAAAAATTCCCATTTGCAGCCCCTTGGAGATTTACGGAATTGAACAAAGTAGAGAACGTTGCGATCTCTCAACTTTAGTTCGTTGTTTTTCACCACTTTATGTGTAGTATTTTCATTTAGGAGGCGGTCTTATTTGAATGCATCATTTCGGGTCTTTATGAATCAATAGATCAATAAGCAGACTAAAAATACAATTTAGCAGTTTCTTTCATTGCGTACTGGGCCTGTTAGGCACGAAATACAATTTTGCAGTTTCGTTTGTTGCGTAATTGGGCCTTCTATAATCAGTAGCAAATGCTCGCAAAACATTTTCCAAAATATTTACTACCTTTTTCCTTGAAGACATGTTTGGGTGACACGTCATTAAGTCACATGATCGATACAGTAACTAGTCACATGATCAGACACGTGTCACATGATCAGACACGTGTCACGTGATCAGACACGTGTCACATGATCAGTCACATGAGCTTGCAAAATGGACAATCTAAATTTCCCAAAATTCTGCTAAGATCAATATCGATATTTTATATATTTCGTTATTTTAACCATATGAACTTCTCACTAGAATAAGTGTTTTATCTTTACACTACAGAACAGAAAAATTGAATTTAAAAAATAAGCAATCAAAGGACCATATTGAAACAGTACACTGTATATGTAAAAATAGAAACATTTATACATGTCCTAACTTTTGTTTATTTTAGTTTGTTTTGTAGTTTAGCTATCATATCTGTGTCCTATATTTTGATGCTTCTCTGCCATGTTATTTTCGGAAAAATTAACATGGCTGAAACTCCCTAAATTACAAAAGGCCACAGCTTTACTGCACATTATATATAACTCTGAAATATACAAAAGTTAGGACAAGTACACATGTTTCTATTTTTCTATATACTATTGCAATATAGTCATTTGATTGGTTATTTTTTAAATTCAAAGTTGTTCCAAACATTTAAAAGTTATGATTTGGGGCAAGTGCCCAAGTAAAGATCATGATTTGGGCTTGCCCCAAATCAACTGCATACCTACTGTGACCCAATGTATTTCCCCAAATCCTTTTGAAGAAATGTGTTTTTGCAAATTGTACATGTTGTTCAATAAATATAAATGTGGATTAATTCTGAGCTCAGTGAACAATTAAGATTGTATACTATAGGTGGCAGCACAGAGTGGACACAACGTAACCATGTGTGATGTGTCTGATGATATTGTGCAGAAAGGCCTGGCTAGAATTCAAGACAGTCTAAAACGAGTAGTAAAGAAGAAATACAAGGATGATCCAACTGTAAGTAATCATGGGCCCCTTAAAGGTCCAATGAAGTAACATACATAATGGGACAGAGAACTACAGGGTGGTCCAAAAAAAATTGGAACATTTGTTAATTGAACACAAAACCATTATTTTTCCTCTAAAATGCACCAAAATTTCACTGAGCATAGTTCAGTCACTTATCCCTCTTATGTAAAGTTTATAGGTGCAAACCACAAATTTAATGCATTAAACTAGTCAATGTTTGATATGACCCCCTTTTCTTAAATATACACTTGACAATTTCGCAGCTACTTTTTCAAGTATTCTTTATTTCAAAGCTTTAATGAACATGTTGATTGCTATACACATTTTATACAATCATATTAAGATGAAATGAGATATTAACATCTATGGTTTACTGGAAAACTATTGTGTTATTGTCAACTTAAGAATACCCCAAATCATTATTTTTATTTAAGAGTAGGAAAGAAAGAACATGTCAGAGGTGAGTGATTGCATAACCCATACAGCTACTAAACTGACAAAATCATTGTTTCCACTTTTCAGTAGAGGGGAAACTGACTAGTTATTTACAAGGCTTTATTAAAGACCACCTCTAAGCACACATAATATAATATATAATTTGTGTTCTGGGAAACTCCTTTATGATATTGATATACATATATTGATATATTCATTGAATATTATTCTTATTAGAACAAGAAAGGGGAGGGGGTTCATTTACCAGTCAAAACAGACTGCCCTGGCCTCTTTCTGGAGAATATTCAATCAGTAATATATCCAACAATAGCCATCAAAATATGATTGATACCCATCGATTGAGGTAAAAAAATGTTGAATATGTTCATATATTTGATCTTCTAAGGCAAACATATAAGTAGTTTGTTCAAGCTGAATTTTTAATCAAGATGGCTTGGACAAAATCAAACGAACAGCAAAGTGAATGAATCATTTCAAAACTGAGTCCCAGGCTTCAACTCATAATTCAGGAGAAAGGGGGTCATATCAAACATTCTCTAGTTTAATGCATTAACTCTGTTGTTTGCACCTATAAACTTTACATCAGATAAATAAGTGATTGAACAATACTCAGTGAAATTTTGGTGCATTTTAGAGAAAAATAATGATTTTGAGTTCAATTATCAAATGTTCCAATTTTTTTTGGACCACCCTGTACTTAGTTTAAAATCATTTGTTCCAAATTCAATAATATACCAGAAACTGGCAGTGTCTATGACCCATATTATGACACCTTTATCGATAACTTTCAGTGTTTTGAAGCTTGCCTATAATTTATTTAGTTTTAGAATTGTAAAATTCTTTAAATGAGCATTCCTCAATGGAGTTCTTCATCTCACTTCCACAACTTTGACACTTCCAATTGATACACGCAATGAATATTTTTGTGTCAAGGTTAGAAACTAGCGATTTACTATGTTTATTTTGTAAAAGATGGCCAATTACATAGTTTAGTGGGTATACATAAAGCAAGAATACTGACTAGAGTGGTGCTTTTCACAAAGGTATCATTGTAAATATGTGTTATTGTGCACGAAATAAGCTGTAAATGTACACCAGCAGTAATCTGTATGTTTTACATTTTAGGCTGGACAGAAGTTCTTTGACAGTACTATGGAGAACATTAGAATTGACACAAATGTTGAACGAGTTGCTGCAAGCACTGATCTCGTCATTGAGGCTATTATAGAAAACCTTGACATCAAGCAGAAACTGTTTAGCTCTCTAGATAAAGTAGCACCACAGTAAGTCATTTCTACTTTACACATTATTTGAGTTTTATGTGCATGTACAGGGTGTCCCAAGATTTTTTGGATCAATTATCAATGTGATTATTGTCAAATTACATTTCTGTAGAATTATTAATTTGCCTATACTGCTTATCATTATAGACATTCAGTATTTGACTCTCTTTTTCATAGTAAACTTGAGTCTTCCACATCGTTTGTTATTATACTCAAAGTATATTTCACTTTATTTATTTAGACATACGTGAACATTTCTATTGTTTATCATTCTAGACATACAATATTTGCCAGTAACACATCATCATTGCCCATCAAAGACATAGCTTCAACCTGTGAACGTCAGGACAGATTCGGTGGCCTGCATTTCTTCAACCCAGTACCTGTGATGAAGCTTGTAGAGGTATTCAAATTGAAAATTTAGACTAAGGTGGAAAGATCTGCTCTGCCGGGAATGCCCATTAATGTTTCCATTTGATATACACGGTCTCCATAAAGCCTCTTTACAAAGACTTTGTATTGGAATTGTAAAGGTATTTTATGGACAGCCTGTAGATATATGAACATCAATATTACACAGTGTGAAACAATGCAGTTCTCCAAGATAGTGTTATCACATATTATCCATACTCATCAAATTTTTGTATTTTGAAAGTGATGGTCGTGACTCTAAAGGCCTTTAAACCATGTAATTTGTAAACATACTTGTTAAATACATCAATTTAAATGTGATATTGTTTGTCTTTGATTTGATTTAGGTTGTACGATTTGGTGCTACAAGCAATGAGACATTCCAAAGTTTAACAGACTTTGGCCAAGCTGTAGGCAAGACAACAGTCAGTTGTAAGGTAATACAAATGGACTACAATGTAGTTTTAAATCATTTATTCAAATAACTAGACAAATCAGAAATTATGCCTATAACATAAATATGAAAATAGTGTTGTTGTTGATCTCCTTGGTGATACGAATTATTTGATTCATTGAATTTGCTATAATTGGCGGATTTAGTCAAAGGTCAATTCACAGATTTAAATATTTTTTTAAATACTTCAAAAATTGGTCATGAAATGCACTAGATTCACGATGATACATAAATAATTTAAATATGAATAAAATTGATGGGCACAAAAAATAATTCTTTGCAGTTTATTGAAAATTTGACTGTGATTTATAATGGTAATTGATTGAAAATTATAAAAGCAGTTTCAATGTTTTTGGAAAGGAAATCACATTTTGTTATCATACATGTAGTTAAAAAGTTATTGTAATATAAAGAATGTAAGGCTCATTGTCACTATCTTCAAAACCAATTTGTTCACTTTCTCCTTAGGATACTCCAGGTTTCATAGTCAGCTGCCTACTATTTTCCTACATGCAATCACTTTTTATTTAGGATACTCCAGGGTTCATAGTTAACCGCCTTCTCGTGCCCTATATGATGGAAGCCGTGCGTATGCTAGAAAGAGGTAATATATACATGTACATGTTTCTTTAGTTTCTCAATATTTATTCAAAAATATGATTCAGCTATAAATTCAATAATAAAAACAAATAATACATATCATTTTAGTTAAGAATTTTGTAAGATTGTATTGTATGTTAATAATTGATGTACTGTTATGCAAAGGCCTTTGGAATAACAAATTAATTTTTTTAACTGAACTTAAACCAGAAAAATAGTATCATGAATATGAGCTATCATGAATTAAATTCAACTATGAAAGTGTATAACATGTATAATGTATATTATATAAAATGTCTGTTGTCAAAGCACAACTTGTATATAGGTGATGCTACAGCAAAGGATATAGACATTGCCATGAAACTTGGTGCGGGGTATCCTATGGGACCATTTGAACTAAATGACTATTGTGGCATAGATATTGGCAAAAACGTCATTGATGGTATTTGTAAATACAATTATGTTCCCGAGGGCAAAATAGTGCAGAATTATTGACATACAACTGTTACATACCCAATTCACCCATGTAAAGTACATTCTACAATGTGTATTTCCATTATTGTCTAAATCATTCCCCAGTTATTTGTCAATTTTGCACCAATATTTTGCCATCAGGGTCCAATCCCATATATTCACCATAGTTAATTCGCTGAAACTACCTTTAGGTGATGCAAGTGCTAAAGACATCGACGTTGCTATGAAATTAGGGGCAGGATATCCCATGGGTCCATTTGAACTTACAGATTATGTTGGCATTGATACTTGTAAATTTATAATGGATGGTGAGTTTTGATTGGAAAAGATATGACAGTCCTCAGTCTATCAGATTGGGTTGTGCTTCATGTTAAGGTCTTATGGAACACATCCACTGTACTACACTGTGTAATGGACTACATCTATCAAGTGCAAGAACACACAGTGTATTATTGCTCTACCTGTTCTACCTGTGTGATCAACCAGATAACAAGATCAAGTACCTGTATAGGTAGAAAGTTGAAACGAAATAGAATGCACCATGATTAAAACTTCTTTAATCAGATCATGAGCAATAATATACATTTGTTCTCTGTTCGGAGATGGGAATGAAACCTATCATGCTGCTTCAGCACATTTCTAGATGACTACACTCCCAAGCCTGGCTAGCAGATGGACCTACACACAGAAGCTTTAAACCATTCCCTAGCACCACCCACCAATTAGCAATAAGATTCTATCCCTGCTACCCGACTAACCTGTTCTAAATATTTTCCAACCCATTTACTCCTACACCTGCATGTATCCTTCCCTAGGTGAAGCTAGTGCACGAGATATAGACACCGCAATGAAGCTAGGAGCTGGGTATCCTATGGGGCCATTTGAATTGTGCGACTATGTTGGTCTTGACACAACTAAGTTTATAGTACAGGGTGAGGAAATAAGGACCTTCTATTAAACTTAAACCTATGGAGTTATTTCATCCTGGAGCTACTTCAACCAAGGAGTTGCTTCAAGATTGGCTATTAATTCACATTTCTAAAATCTTCCTTATTGATGGTTTCAATTTATTTCTTTAAAAAACAAACATGGCAGAATGTAAATTGAAACTATAAGTCAAGATCTAAATAACCGTATGAATGAAATAGCTTAATGATGTAATAACTCCATGGATTGGATGTTAAACATGTACCAATACTAATATAATATGTTGTGATCCAACATGATTTCCTTCGGTAATATAGAAATCCTAATACCACCTTAAGTTTGCACAATTTCCTTTTGATTCATATTATATCCCTTTAAAGCTAGCCTTATGTATATTTTGCAGTTATTATGTAGATTCATTTAGTTAATCTTTTCTAAGACTGATTTCCTTTCAGTTGTTATAATTTATCTATTTACAATTTTGATGTTGATTTTAAAAACAATGGAAAATGAAATTATAGATGTCAATATACACTGTAATTGTAGATTAATTTATCATATATATTTAGTATTTAAATAATTGTATTATATATGACTTGTTCAAAACATTTTACTGTGTGTACAATCTCCTACAATTTGGCAACACCATGTGACCTCAAACACCATTGGACCTCATGTTTAAGCCTATATTCATGTTTGGCAATTTAAAAATCATCAGTCATTTTATGATCTCGGGTATTATTGTCGAAGAAAAAATTTCAAACACAAATAGCCTCAACAGGCTGTTTATGCCTTGGTCACATTTGCTTCGATTTTTACTACAGCGCCCGGGCGATTGAGTATTTTGTTCAAAATTGAATGCAATATTGAACAAAACACTCAATCGGCCGGGCACCGGCAGGTGGATTGGAGCTAATGTGACCCAGGCATTACTTGTATCCAATGGGGAGCCAGGGTTGTGAAATGTATTGAGGGGAGAGGAGTCTATGTAGAAGAGGCACAGTGTATATATTCCAAGTTGGATTATTTTCAGGATGGCATGAGCTTGACCCCGACCAGCCACTCTTCAAGCCCAGTGAGCTGGTGAACAAACTGGTCGCAGAGGGAAAACTTGGAATGAAATCTGGAGAGGGATTCTATAGTTATAAGAAATAAATCAACCTGATAGGACTGACACAGAATGGACTGTACAATGCAATAAAAGTGTTAAGTTTTCAGAGATTGGACTATGCAATTGGGTTAGATATAAGTTATCTCAAATACACTTACAGAAATACAGTTATCTGATACCGGTACTATTTATTTAAATAATTATGATTAAATGATGAACACAATGCATGTAAATTCCTTCAATTCAAGTTTATTATCAGTATTATTGTACCTGTTGCTATATCCACAACACTATACCATGTTTCCATGGTAATATTGTATGTACATGTAGGACATGCCTTGTACTTGTAAATATTGACAAACCAAAAATAATTGTATTTTGTAATAAATTGCAAAGGTTATATTGAAAATAAAATTTAAAATGATGAATCACTATTATTACATTATATTCCATTTAGATAAAATAAAGATTTTTGGGTGAATATTAGACTAATCAGTAAAATTCAATTGTCATTCGCTCCTTTTGGATTTTTTTCTTGCCTCCATTTTGCCAAGAACTCTGAAAATCTCCTTTTTCATTTCCTTAGTTTTCTTCTGTCGTTTATTGTCAATAATTTTGGTTTGTTTTTCATGGGCTCTAGCTCGTTGTCGCATCTCTACACGCTTCTTCTTCATCTTGTGCTCATGTAGTGTTTTCATCATTTTCATGAACTCCGAAACCTGCAATAGCCATTTTTAGTTTTATCCATTAAGTGTTATACATCTATGAGATTAGCCCACTCTACTTATTTGGTAAAGTTGAGACTAGACTAGACTAGACGAGACTAAAAACATAACTGCATCACTATTGTTGTTTTTTGTCGCTCCCCCAAATAAAATTGGTTCCCCATAAAAATTGACAGTAATACTTGTCCCAGTGCAAAAAGTCAGGAGACCCTTATCTCACGATGATAGACTGGAGACATGGGGAAAAAACCTAAGTCCTCTTAAACAAAATACAAAATATCAGATGACAAAAGTTATGAAGGGGAAGTTCAACCCCTATGAATAGAAATAAGTCATAGACACTATAAGCTAGGACAGGAGATTCAGTGTGTTATATTACCTTTCTCTCCTTCGCTTCCTTGACCACAGCAATCCTTGTACTCTGTACGGGATCCCGAACATTTCTTGCTACCTTAGGTTTATCTTTGAATGGTAGCGCTCCCTGGAGGTCACGTGGTATCATCAGAGGCTGGAATGTCTTCGGTTTCCTCACGATTTTCTGAAAGTTGATATTTAGAAAAAGATGTACCTGAATTGAATAATAGTAGGCAAAGAATTCTTCCTCCAAAATATAATTTTTATAAAAGTAGATGGTCCATTTAAAATATATGAAACATGACCAAATGATAGTTATACTAAAAGAAACATGTAGTAGCAATTCTATTCTGTACATAAAGTTTGCTCTACGTACTGAAGAACATTTTAAAATACTCTTGACATTGTTTTGCAGATCTAAGGTGATATTGAACAAATATTTCACTCTATTGAGGTGAATACCTGTACATCTTTCACAAGTGATATTCCACGAAGCCCAAAGGGCAAGTGGAATATCACCTTGTGAAAGTGCTACAGGTATTCACTGAAAATAGAGTGAAATATTTGTTTTATTATATCACTATCTAGCTAAACATCCCTAATATTATTAAGTCATAAAGTCTTCAGATATTTTAAGAATCTACTCAGTTCGTCTGCCATTTTGACTTAAACTGAACTAAATTATTTACACTGAACGAAAACAAATTCTTTGAAAATTCCCGGGAGCGTGGGATATCGCTAGATATCTCACGGTTGTCTTATCTGATTAGCATTGCCATTGAATATCGCCAGATATCCCACGACATGTGACCCGGTTTTGACCAATCATACTGTCGCTAGCTAGATAGTGATATAATAATGACAGTTACTGCATCAATTCTGCCCCAAAAGTAATAGTTCCATTTTTCACTGTAGAGACTTCTCTCCTTATTTGTTGAAGATTTCTGTATTTTTTTTTAATTCATTTACCTTGTAAATTGAGTCCTCTTGCCTCTCTCCCTGAACTCCTTTCTCTCTCTTCAGCTGGCCTACAGTCTTCATTCCCTGCCACTTGGTCTTCTCATCCTGGTCCAACAGCAGAGTGGAGACAACATTGTAGTATCTGGGCACCTCCACTGGGAACCATGTCCTCACAAATACAATGTCTATAAAGAAAGAGTATGCATAACATTGTACTTTGTGTTCAGATTTACTGAACAACTGAAGATATCGCTATTGCAGTCAAGGAATAATGAGTTATGTCTTTGTTGAAAACATTTCAGATTTATGCAGTCGCTTTAACCAAACAATTAGCATACCGATTTCCTAACAAGTTTTTTATTCATCTTTTGAAATTAATAATGTTAGTATACAACAGACACTTTATTTGTAATGTACAAGTAGAGCAGTTAGACACAACTTTTAAGTAGGGGTGTATATTGTGTGGATAGTTCGTAAAGCTGGTACACCTCATGTAGACTGACCATAATCAACCATAGAAATGCATCACATGGCAACTTGTCATGTACAAAGAGGATTTATGAAACCTCTATTATGAAAAACCACCTACCACTAAGCTGAAGCTTGTCCTCAAACGTTGCCCTAAATGCACCAGCTGGAGCCTTCACTGCCTTCTTGATCTGGCCCCTTATCCCACTCACAGACTTTATAGTGGCCCCCTCAAATTTGGCTACTTCAAGTTGGGATGTAAACATTCCCTATATAAAACATAATTTCTCAATGCAGATACATACATGTATGCTCAATCCTAATTATGCCTTTTTCATCCAAGTTTGTCGATATTCCATTCTTTTGACAGGGTGCAAGCAAATTTTTACAGGGTGGCATGTTATATTGACAGGGTGCAGCACCTTTGTGTGCCAAAGCAAGGAAGCTTTCAATATGGGCTAATCTCATTGAGAAAATATATAAATGATTTATAATCTACAATATTAACCTGCATATATATGATCTTTTAAATATTTCAACTGAATAGCAAATTCTTACCTTTATGAATGCTGTCTTTTTGAATATTTTCAATGGTGTTCCAGTTAGCTTTAGTTTCTTAACAATTGTCTTTGACTTATCCAGCTCTAGAACTACTCCAGTGCCAGCTATACGAAAGCCACTGCTCTGTAATCATAAATGTACCACGGGGCCATATATAAAGCAGTTGCGCTGTACATGGACATTCTATAAGCTAACCACTTGACTCAAGAGCATAAAACACCAGTCCCAACAAAACGACTGATCATAAAATAGTGTGTTATGCGTGTGAAAAATACTGGACAATTCAAGTTACATGTTAGTGAGTTATAAAATAAAAATAATAACAAGAATTCTGAAGCTTTAAACGATGAGTAAACCAAACAGTTTTTTCTATTGGTAATGTATAAACAGTCCATTGAGTCTTGATTCAATTGAAACCTCTATATTCAACTATCAGTTTGAATTAGTTTCAGCCCTAATTTAACATTGCCAGTATATGGAGAAGACCGGAAATCTAACAAGTTCTGTAAAAATGCATCATATTTTCTGATATCTCTTGAAAATAATACTGCTGATTGCTGCCTTCTTAGTCTAACATACAGGGTGTCCCGAAAGTATGGCCCCCCCCTAGGCAGACATATTCCAGTGTCCTCATAGTATGTGTCATATATCATTTTAAAGCTTATCTAAAGTTACATTGATTTGCCAAGTATTATGGTTTAACTCCCAAATGGGAAAAAGTTACAGTAATTTTAAAAGTTAGTGTTTTGTCAAAATAAAGTTCAATTTTACACCATATTACTAGTCAATGTGTACCCCCTTGGCCATGTTAACAGCAGCAATTATTTTCAGATATGACCTCAGAAGCCCTTCAAATAGGGGTGTGGAATTTTATAACCCTCTTAAAACCTGTAAAGGGACTTTAGAAGAGTTTCCTTAGAGTTTCTACCCTCACCGTTCTCTTTTTCCAACTCACTATCCAACCGACCCGAAAATAATTGCTGCTATTAAGATGGCCCGGGAGGACACATTAACTAGTGTTTTGATGTAAAATTGAACTTAATTTTGACCAAACACTAAATTTTGAAATGTCTGTAATTTTTTCACATTTGAGAGTTGAACCATGATACTTGGCGAATCAATGTAACTTTGGATAAGCTTTAAAATGATATATGACACATACTATGACGACTCAGGTATATGTCTGCCTAGGGGGGGGGCCCCATACTTTCGGGACACCCTGTACTTATGTAGCCCAGTAACTTACCCCACTGTTTCCTGATACACTCTGCACAGCAAGTAAACCAGTGCCCTGTGGGGTGATTGGACCTGAAATCCAAATAACAGATATGCAACATAAATATATCAGTGCCCTGGGAAATGATTGTGCCTGAATTTCAAATAACAGATTTTCAACATAAATATTTCAGATAGTATGCACCACATATAGTGCTAACAATATGGTTCATGCAAAAGATTGTGTAATAACTAATGGAACTATATGTTCTGTGACAATTAAATCTGATTGATTGAAATACCATGAGAAGTGTATTGTTACTTACCCCACATTGTAGCATGACAATGCATGTGTTCAGGAGTATATTTCAACAGTCTGTTCCTCATATTATGGTCTTGTATGGAGTACAGTGGAATGGTCTGGAACCGTCGCCATCCCAAAGACACAATCAATGGATCCCTGTTTTTTAAGATTTTCTTGTGCCACCTATGCTTTTTAAACCTCACCTAAAAGGAATATTACTTTGATTTCACGATGTGTAGAAATTGGATTATTTTTGTAATGTCTTTATTACAGTAGACAGAGTAAGCCTTTTGACTAGAATTGTTTAGGGTGACGAATTTCAATTGAAAATTTTAAATTTTAAATCCTAAATAAAAAGTGCTGCATCAAGATCGTTAACGTTTCTTACCTGAACATAACCTATAGTTTCTTCTACACTCAGTAGTCCCCCAAGAATTAAAGGGTAAGTAGGGTCAAAGTTAGTGACCAATTCACAAGGCACTTGTTCCAGTTCTACACGAACATAGAGCCCTGGTCTGAACCCCTCATACTGAGCACGTGTGGCATCATCCAAATTCTCAAATTCGCTCCTGTTCAACTGAAATAAAATCAAGGACTTTTTAACTGAACATTTTTAGGTTTTGGACCAAGATTCGTTGAGCCATTGAATATGCATTCATATAGAAATTAAATGATGCATCACTGAGGGACACTAGCACCTTCAAAGATGTGTAATTTACCTAATTTCACATTATGATGGTTTATTGTTACAGACAGTATCCCTACTGAATTTGTCATTTTTGATCATAAGCCTTAAACATTAGGAAAATTTCTTTAACATCATTTAGGCTTACAGTGGCTTGTTGTTCCATCTCAGCTTTCAGGCCATCATAGTAGGTTCCATCTTTATCGTCATACTCAGCGTCAAACATTGCTTTCAAGTTCTTCTTCTTCTCCTCTCTCTTCTTCATGGCTGCTGCCTTCCTCTCTTCCTTTGTCCATTCTGTATGGAAGATAACATTATTAAAGAATTGTACATTATTTTACAAACATTCATCATAATAGATCTCTGTATTTCTTTTTCATTGGCATAGCCTGTGCTCTGTATGTATAAATAAAAGATAACTAAAATGATGAATTTAATGGGAAAATAAATACTATAGCTTTCAATGGACTGAATTCTAAAGTGATAATTAAATGAGAAGTTTTACCATTAAAATCCTTAAATGTTCAACTTTGATTTTAAGGAAAAAAATTCTTGAAAAATGCATGAATGAATGTACTCCTGTCTTATTATGATAAATGATGAAACCACATTAACAATTCTGCTACCTAAATAAAAATGAAGGTATCATTACCAGATTTCTTCTTCTTTGGTTTATCATCTTCCTCTTCATCATCTTCATCGGTGTCATCACTGCCATCATCATCCTCTTCCTTGTGGATCTCTCCAGTCTCCAGGTCCTCAAAATCCCCATACATTTCATCTGAAGATCAAATTAATAATAACAATATTTATTTAATAATAATTGAGTAACTCTAAAACTAATAAGCGAAATCATTATCACATGTTGTGAGATGCTGTGAAAATATATAAATAGCTTGGACTTGTTAGCACTGTGATTATCACATAGAACCAATGCATATCTGTATCCAGGGATTTTGTCAATATGTTACATATATATGACAATAAATGCTATTACATTTATATAAAGTCTGTATAGCTACATAATTTTACAAAGGCAGACTTCCAGAATGAGTAAGGCAGCAGCATTTTTCATCACAGTAGCCATTTACAAGGTAATATGTGTTTTATTCAATATTTTATTTTTTCACTGCAGATTTTAAATATATTTTGATTGCAATAATTTTCTTTGTCCCGATATGCTCTTGTGGGTATCTGGTGGCTTTAAATAGTAAGTATCCTATTATAATTATCGTGGAGTGTATATTATGTACTATTTGTATTTAAGTGTATGCTGGTCTATGGTATTGTACCTGGAAACATTCCTAAATTATCTCAAATTACAACGGAATCGACTGGACTGATTTGGCAATCAGCTGACCCAGATGATGTCACAATGGTTAATCCTGATATAAAGGGCCGCATCAAACTACCCATAAATATGACTATTAGGGGTCTCATCAAGGACGTAGGAAATGAGAATATGGAACATGATGAACACATAAACAACAAAAACATAGATATCAAAGATAAAAAGGAAATAAATAATCAGCAAAATGACACGGACAAAAGTATGGACCAAATGCAAGTAATGGATTGGAAGATAGTTGGTAGTTCTTGGCTCATTAGACTTTGCTTTGGAGTAATAATAATATTGTCGCTTCTGAATTTGACAATTATGTTCATACTGACAGGTATTGGAAAGTCCAAGAAGAAAGATGACATGTTGCTGCCTGCAGTTCCACAAGATCAAAAAGGTATGTACCGTATTGTCTAAATGGATATGTCATGAAATTTCTCATTTATGAATCCAGTGTTACTGAATCAAACATTTTTTGCCTTGGTGTTTTTGTACAAATGTTAAAATGTTTCAAAATGTTTTAAAATAGTTTGAAATATGAAAAACTGTTTACTTTTGATGTACCATGTTAATGATGATGTTTTTTAAATTATGAACTTGTCACTGCACTAGTCCTCACCTGGCTATAAGGATGTTACATCTTTATAACAAAATGGATAAATTTCCGTTGGAGGAAATTGTCATTTTCACCAAGAAGGAGGTTGATTTGTATCCAAATATTTTACCTTATGTTAATAGTAGCATCCAGTTACTGAATAGCCAATCAGTCACGAGTATATACCTCCAAGGGCTCCAATAATCGAGTGAGAATTTCTCACTTCAGCAACCAGGACATTAAAAGGCCATAACATGAAGCAAACCAAGACATTATGAAATTCACCAGATAACGTCTTGGTTGCTGAGGTTAGGGAATTCTCACTTGATTATTGGAGCTGATGGATATATTTGCTTGTGACTGCCTAGAAATTGATGAAAATAAAAATTTCTTCTGGCAGAAGTTCATCCATTTTGTTATAAGACGTTACGTATTTATAACCAAGTGGGGACCAGTGATTTTTTATGTGAGATGGGACAGCAATTATAAATCTGTAATTGTATAAATATGGTAGTTGTGGCTATAATTCTCAAAGATTGAATGACTGTTTAGTAAACAAATTGTACTGAAAATCAAAGAATTGGAAAATCTCAACCGAGAGATTAAGCAAATAATTCTAGAATTATCCTCTGTAGTATTTATAAAGAACAAAGATAATTTTTAATAAGTCCATGAATAAGCAAAACAGCTTAGGCTTATCCACAAAAGGACATTGAGGTCAAAGAAGCATGACGAATTTTTTACATTTTTTACATAATGATCTTTTTGTCCTTTAGTTCAACAGGTAAAAGAGGATGTAAGTGACATATTGACTATCTAATGAAGAGCATAAAGCAGTCCACTGAGAGGATTTATTATCTACTAAGATACCCAATAAGCAGCACATGAGAGTCTGTAGAAATGAGACACCAACAAAGCCAGGGCATACCAAATCAAATTAAATCATCACGAAGCAGACATGTTATATAATGATGACTCCACATACACGTATAACACATACACATGTAACAGTAAGTAATGATTGTAACAGCAATCATATCCTGAATTATATAACCAGCATCTATTGAAGACATGGATGATTAAAAGGACATTTAATCTAACTAACATGAGCTTTAATAACTAGATGAATTGTCTCACAGACAAACCCTACATATAAGGGATCTAAGGGACTGAGAATTGCCATGGTTGTAGAGTTGTGTACAGTTTAAGGTAAAATCAAATAAAGCAAGCAAACTTTCCACAAATTGTTTCAATTTTAGAATATTTTGGGTTCATATCGTTTGTTCAATCTATGTCATGTGTATTTTCTTAAAGTCCTCTGCAAATCCTTCCTTTGAAATGACATTGTATATTACCTCATAGTATTAATAAATGTAGCCAAGGGCTAAGACAAAAATCATTTTATCTATGCATTTAAACTGTGTGGGTGCAACAGCATGATCAGGGCAGTACCAAAAGTAAGTTGTTTTGAATTTAAATTACCCAAATCTTGCTAAATATTGACATTTTGCATCGAATTTGAAATGCAAATAAGAATAATATGTAGAAACATACATATTAAAATGCCAAATGTCACCACCTGCCATTTGTTACAGATGCCAAACTCAGAAGGCTGACTGGTGGATGCCAAACAGTGTCCACAAAAAAGTTGGAGACTATAACAATATGTCACCACTTGCTGTGGTGACATAAAAACAAAGTGATTGATAAAAGAACATACCATCTTGATCCAGTAGAGCCTGGGCATCTTCATCTTTGTCCCATTTGCCAGTCACAAAACAATCTTTTATGGCATCTAACAGCTAAAACATATAAAAAACATTTCATCACATTTGGTATTGCATTATATTTCAATATAATTAGAGTACAACATTACTGGCACGTAATGGAGAAAACATTTGGCACCTTTGGGCACAACAAATTTTGTACATACATGTACTGATTGCTGAAAATTCATCTAGAATGAATGCAATCTACAATATATGAGATCCCCATGTCGTCCCTTATCTCCTACGTGAAATGGCATGTGGTATCAGTAAAAAGATGTAAGACTACTCATATGCATGACTTACAGCTAATTCATGTAATTTAATTTAGTTTCCTTTATAAAACCTTTCAGGAATACAGAAATCAAAGATAAACAGCCATGTAGCATGAACACTTCATAGGTCTCATATTTAATTTCCCCTATTGGATGCCATGTTAAAAGCACCTCTCTGAGATGAACATTGGCACCTTTGCACTTTTTCAGTTCCAAGAGTGTCTGGTTAAGTTTTACTGTACTCATCCCAGGTATTCTTAAAGCCTCACCTCCTCTAACTCCCACTTTGGTTCATCTCCTGTGACTGGTGTGTACCTTGAACAATCTAAACCATTGGATGAGGCTGTCAGTGTCTCCTTCTGTGATGTGCTTCTCGACTTCTTGCTCACTTTGAACAGCCCACCTAGATCATCTTCATCTTCAGCCTCCGAATCATCATCTTCCGCATCTTTCTGGTCATCTGCGATAAAGAAATCATTATAATACAAGCAGTTCATAAGGGAGGCACAAACAGGCCAAGGATTAAGAGGTGATATGTTTGTTATTGTCAAGCTACATTTGATATAGACTAGTGAATTTTGTTTGGTATGGGGAAATTATTAAGCAACTTGTCTGCAGTCATTTTATATAGACAAGTGAATCTTGTTTGGTATGGGAAAATAACTAAGCAACTGGTCTGCAGTCATTTTATATAGACAAGTGAATCTTGTTTGGTATGGGGAAATTACTAAGCAACTGGTCTGCAGTCATTTTATATAGACAAATGAATCTTGTTTGGTATGGGGAAATTACTAAGCAGCTGGTCTGCAGTCATTTCATCTCCAAGCATTAGGCCAATCATTATGATGTATCATAAGTGATAGGAGGAGACACAAAGTAACTTTGAAAAGATATTACTAACCCATTTTCAAACCTGAATATTAATATTGATTTATTAAGGCCAAACATTCATCTGACCTATATTTGACAGCTTTAACTTTTCTTCTGTTAAACATATTCATGGTACAAGGTGTAATAACAATTTATCTACATGTCATCCTTAAAATGATCTTTTCCTCCTGATAAATATAAGTTATTTCATCGTTGATTTTCAATATGATAAGTATAGTTACAATGTTGAAGAAATAGCTTAAATGTCACTCTTATCATCAGAATAAGTCTACGTACAATATTAAAGCAATGGTTTACTGACATTCTCATTATCAGGATACATGTATTTATAATATTAAAGCAATGGCTTAATGTCACTTTTGTCATCAGAATAAGTGTAGGTACAATATTAAGCAATGGTTTACTGTCATCCCCATTATCAGAATAAGTGTATTTACAATGTTGAAGCAATGGCTTAATGTCACTATCATCATCAGAATAAGTGTAGGTACAATATTAAAGCAATGGTTTATTGTCATTCTCATTATCGGAATAAGTGTATTTACAATGTTGAAGCAATGACTTAATGTCACTATCATTATCAGAATAAGTGTAGGTACAATATTGAAGCAATGGTTTACTGTCATTCTCATTATCAGGACAAATGTATTTACACTGTTGAAGCAATGACTTAATGTCACTATCATTATAAGAATAAGTGTAGGTACAATATAAAAGCAATGGTATATTGTCATTCTCATTATCGGAATAAGTGTATTTACAATGTTAAAGCAATGGCTTAATGTCACTCTTGTCATCAGAATAAGTGTAGGTACAATATTAAGCAATGGTTTACTGTCATTCTCATTATCGGAATAAGTGTATTTACAATGTTAAAGCAATGGCTTAATGTCACTCTTGTCATCAGAATAAGTGTAGGTACAATATTAAGCAATGCTTTACTGTCATTCTCATTATCGGAATAAGTGTATTTACAATGTTAAAGCAATGGCTTAATGTCACTCTTGTCATCAGAATAAGTGTAGGTACAATATTAAGCAATGGTTTACTGTCATTCTCATTATCGGAATAAGTGTATTTACAATGTTAAAACAATGGCTTAATGTCACTCTTGTCATCAGAATAAGTGTAGGTACAATATTAAAGCAATGTTCACTGCCTTTCTCATTATCAGGATAAATGTATTTACAATATTAAAGCAATGACTTAATGTCACTATCATCATCAGAATAAGTGTAAGCACAATATTAAAGCAATGTTCACTGCCTTTCTCATTATCAGGATAAATGTATTTACAATATTAAAGCAATGACTTAATGTCACTATCATCATCAGAATAAGTGTAGGTACAATATTAAAGCAATGTTCACTGCCTTTCTCATTATCAGGATAAATGTATTTACAATATTAAAGCAATGGCTTAATGTCACTATCATCATCAGAATAAGTGTAAGTACAATATTAAAGCAATGTTCACTGCCTTTCTCATTATCAGGATAAATGTATTTACAATATTAAAGCAATGACTTAATGTCACTATCATCATCAGAATAAGTGTAGGTACAATATTAAAGCAATGTTCACTGCCTTTCTCATTATCAGGATAAATGTATTTACAATGTCGAAGCAATGGCTTAATGTCACTATCATTATCAGAATAAATGTAGGTACAATATTAAAGCAATGTTCACTGCCTTTCTCATTATCAGGATAAATGTATTTATGATGTCGAAGCAATGGCTTAATGTCACTCGTGTCATCAAAATAAGTGTAGGTAAAATATCAAAGCAATGGTTTACTATCATTCTCATTATCAGGATAAGTGTATTTACAATGTTAAAGCAATGGCATAATGTCACTCGTGTCATCAGAATAAGTGTAGGTAAAATATCAAAGCAATGGTTTACTATCATTCTCATTATCAGGATTAATGTATTTACAATGTTGAAGCAATGGCATAATGTCACTCTTGTCATCAAAATAAGTGTAAGTACCAATATAAAAGCAATGGTTTACTGTCATTCTCATTATCAGGATAAATGTATTTACAATATTAACGCAATGGCTTAATGTCACTCTTGTCATCAAAATAAGTGTAGGTAAAATATCAAAGCAATGGTTTATTGTCATTCTCATTATCAGGATTAATGTATTTACAATGTTAAAGCAATGGCATAATGTCACTATCATTATAAGAATAAGTGTAGGTACAATATAAAAGCAATGGTATATTGTCATTCTCATTATCGGAATAAGTGTATTTACAATGTTAAAGCAATGGCTTAATGTCACTCTCTTGTTATCAGAATAAGTGTAGGTACAATATCAAAGCAATGGTTTACTGCCTTTCTCGTTATCAGGATAAATGTATTTACAATGTTGAAGCAATGGCGTAATGTCACTATCATCATCAGAATAAGTGTAAGTACAATATTAAAGCAATAGTTCACTGCCTTTCTCATTATCAGGATAAATGTATTTACAATGTTGAAGCAATGACTTAATGTCACTATCATTATAAGAATAAGTGTAGGTACAATATAAAAGCAATGGTATATTGTCATTCTCATTATCGGAATAAGTGTATTTACAATGTTAAAGCAATGGCTTAATGTCACTCTCTTGTTATCAGAATAAGTGTAGGTACAATATCAAAGCAATGGTTTACTGCCTTTCTCATTATCAGGATAAATGTATTTACAATGTTGAAGCAATGGCGTAATGTCACTATCATCATCAGAATAAGTGTAAGTACAATATTAAAGCAATAGTTCACTGCCTTTCTCATTATCAGGATAAATGTATTTACAATGTTGAAGCAATGGCTTAATGTCACTATCATTATCAGAATAAGTGTAGGTACAATATTAAAGCAATGGTTTACTGTCATTCTCATTATCAGGATAAATGTATTTACAATGTTGAAGCAATGGCTTAATGTCACTATCATTATCAGAATAAGTGTAGGTACAATATTAAGCAATGATTTACTGTCATTCTCATTATCAGAATAAGTGTATTTACAATGTTAAAGCAATGGCTTAATGTCACTATCATCATCAGAATAAGTGTAGGTAAAATATCAAAGCAATGGGTTACTGTCATTCTCATTATGAGGATAAGTGTATTTACAATGTTGAAGCAATGGCTTAATGTCACTATCATCATCAGAACAAGTGTAAGTACAAAATATTAAAGCAATGGTTCACTGCCTTTCTCATTATCAGGATAAATGTATTTATAATGTTAAAGCAATGGCGTAATGTCACTATCATCATCAGAATAAGTGTAAGTACAATATTAAAGCAATGGTTCACTGCCTTTCTCATTATCAGGATAAATGTATTTACAATGTTAAAGCAATGGCGTAATGTCACTATCATCATCAGAGTAAGTGTAAGCACAATATTAAAGCAATGGTTTACTGTCATTCTCATTATCAGGATAAATGTATTAACAATGTTGAAGCAATGGCTTAATGTCACTATCATCATCAGAATAAGTGTAAGTACAATATTAAAGCAATGGTTTACTGTCCTTCTCATTATCAGAATAAGTGTATTTACAATGTTGAAGCAATGGCATAATGTCACTCTTGTCATCAAAATAAGTGTAGGTACAATATTAAAGCAATGTTCACTGCCTTTTTCATTATCAGGATAAATGTATTAACAATGTCGAAGCAATGGCTTAATGTCACTATCATTATCAGAATAAGTGTAAGTACAATATTAAAGCAATGTTCACTGCCTTTCTCATTATCAGGATAAATGTATTTACAATGTCGAAGCAATGGCTTAATGTCACGATCATTATCAGAATAAATGTAGGTACAATATTAAAGCAATGTTCACTGCCTTTCTGCCTTTCTCATTATCAGGATAAATGTATTTACAATGTCGAAGCAATGGCTTAATGTCACTATCATCATCAGAATAAGTCTAGGTACAATATTGAAGCAATGGTGTACTGTCACAATCATCATTAGGATATGTGTCACATGCATCATTCATGGCATCAATGTTAAGTTTGATGAACTCTTCATCAGCACTGATCCCATCCAAATCCATATGGAAAATTGGTAAATCAATATCATCCTTTACAATGTCATTATTGGTACCTTTCCTTCTAGTGCTATCTTGTTGGATAGCTTCATGAGTACCATCCCATTTGGCTCCATCATTGGTAACACTCTCATTGGGATCATCCCATCTAGCACACTCATTGGTACCATTCTGCCTGATGCCTTCTCTGATATTGTCCTGTATCGCATCTTCATTGGCACCATCCAGAGTTACGCCTTCATTGCCATTTTGGACATCATTCCATCTTCCACATTCACTGGCACCATCCTGCCTGATGCCTTCATTGGTGTTGTCCTGTATCATATTTTCATTGGCACCATTCCGACTTATGCCTCCATTGCCATTTTGCACATCACCAAAATCTAGAGCCTCTTTTAATCTCAACCAAAAAGCAGGGTTTTGGGAGGAATCTTTTGGCCATTGTAGATAGGTTTTCTGACCAAGGTAGCTCTTTAAACTGGAAGATATTTTATCCTTGTTTAAATCTTTTAAATCATGCAGCAAAATCATCACCATCGTATCATAGGTCGCATCGAGACGTTTATTTTTTGAGAGTTCAAACTCAAAATTACACCATCTGCTTTCTAAATAATTGTTAGACATGAGAATGATCACTTTGCGGCTCACCTCAATAAAATGTACAATATTACTGACGATAAATTCACCAGGAATAAATTCACGATCATGAATGGATAAGCAAAGTCCAAATTCATTCTCCATTTTTTCCTGTATTTTAACAATGACTGATATATCATCACTGCTACTGTAGGATAAGAAAGCATGGTAGTTGAATACTCTGTAGTCATCACATTGTGTCTTTCTTCGCAGGAGTCTCCTTACCATCTGTCGGCTCATAAGCCACATATACTCAAGGCGATGTCGTTTAACATAGATTATACAGCATATGATACCCAGAATGATCATAACACCTAAAGAAGTCGCAACTGACACGATAAGCGTCATCTGACACATTAATGTTGTTTTTTCAATAGATAATAAATGTATGAGGATATACTCAGAGTTTCTCAGGCAATTGTATGATTTATTGTTATGAAAATGCACTCTAGTTGTATTCATCCACTTAATGAACTCAAGTTGACTACAGCCACAAAGTAAAGGATTGTGTTCCAGGTCTACAACAAGTCTAGATTGATTTTGCCGAGTAATGTCATCCAATTGTGACATCATAAATGATGACAGATGGGTTATCAGATTAGATGAGACATTCAACAGTTCCAGGTTCATATTTTTACGTAAATCTATGTCCAGTGAATTGATTCCATTTGCGCTGAGGTTGATGTACTGCACACTCACCATGTCAGAAAATGTGTGAAGGTCTGGCTGGGTAAACTTTGTATTTTCCAAATCGATGGATTTCACATTTGAACAATTTTGAAAGATTAATGTTGTTTTATTCTGTTTACTATAAACAGATTTAAGGTCTAGGTTCCCAAGAAGAAGCATTTCTAGTTTAGGCCAGTTTTTACAAGAGAATGAATCTAGATCTGTAAACACTGTGTTCAAGTTTTGGATGTTCAAATATGTTAGGTTATACAGTCCTGTCATTGCACCATGTAGACCAGCTATGATGGCTCCAGACATATCAATAACTTTAACATGGTTCGGGGAAACAATGCAGAATTTCTCATCATGAAAATGATACTCCTTTGATATGATCATGTTGTCAATGTACACTTCTTCTCGACTAATTGGCATCTGCAAGCAATTTGATGGATAACTGGGACGTTCTTTGTGGTTTATCCTAATTGGTACATGAGCATTGCTTCCGATATCAAACACCTTCAATGAGTACATAAGTTTAAAGTTTACACCATAGAAAATGTTTCCATGAATCCAAAAGTTTAAGCTGAGATAGTTTCCTCGGAGGGAGATGTACTCTAGTAAACCAAAGTATGCACCGAAACCTGCTTCCAAGTAGCTGATATGATTTCCATCTAGCTTCAAAACCTTCACTTTCAATCTCTTAAAAATTATCATCTTTTGTTTTTTCAGCACGTAACTTTGAATAGCCACACTTTTGTCATCAATGTCATTCGTGAATGATAAATCCAAGTAATCTATTGTTTGATTCAATTTAACCAGTGGATGAAGTCTATTCATTACTCTGTCCAGTCCAAGCATGCTATTTCCTCTGAAGTCCAAATATTTGAGACTTCTCAAGTCAGCCAGTGCTTTTTCTTCAAAGACACGCAACAATGACGATGTACTATAATAATCGAATATCATAACACCAGACTGACTGTTCTTCAAATATTCCAATCTTCCAAGTCCTTGTAGGGATTTCTGCCATATTGTCTTGATTTGATTCCTACTGATATCCAAATACCTCAGATTTATGTACCTTTTGAATGCATAATTCTGGATGTCCAACACAGTTGGTATATCAGTGAGCTGTAGGTACTGAATTGAAGCTGGGAATGTCTGAGGAACACTAGTCACATTCATTCTCTTGCAAATGTACCGTATGTCACTACAGATGTAACATCCATCAGGACATGCATGATTGGTCTCCTTAGTAAAATCAATGTCTGGTTTATCAGGGTACTGATACCTCGCTGATATTGTTGGCACCCCTCCCAATATGAGTACAAATATATTCATTATCTTCCAAAGAAGCATCACTGCTGTGAAGTTCATTTTGTGTTCATGAATCAAATCTGTATGATCAGGGTGTTCTGCCTTATATATACAGTTCTGTAGGCCTATAATCACTGCACTGGGTGGAAAGGAACCACTGAAAATGAGTGTGGCCTAGTCCTCAGTCAGTTGCGTAGCCAGGATTATCCACAAATCTCCACCTTCATTGGGGTTCCTCATATAAAACCATTTTCGTAATTTCTTTACATACAATTTACACCCCTCCAAAAGTGTGTCAACCGTAGACTCCCCCATGGAGTGTTTAAGCCTCCTTATGTTTGAATTATTATTCGTATAATATGTACAGTGTATAAAGAAAAAACTGTTTTAGTGCTAGAAAAAATAAATTGACATCATGTCCGATACTTCCATTTTGTTTTCGCAAAATACAATTGAATTTGAAAAAGTTAATAGACAATTTGATTTTCTATGTTAAAATAGTTTTTGGTGAATCTTTTACTGAATAGAGATCCTGAAATCTGAAGGCAAGATCATGATTTTAATATTACATTTTTTTAATGAAATCTAAATCAAGAGTTAACATATATTGAGCTAAGTTTAAGGGGAAATCCTAACACATCTTTAAAGGCCCCATATAAAGTTTAAACCACTTTGACTTATATTGTAGTCTTAACCAATGTTATCAAAGTGTGATATGTGAAAGTTTTTTTTGAAATTTCAAAAAGTGATTTTTGATAGACTTTTTGTTCCAAAATTTGTGACTTTATTAAAAACCAACTTTTAGAGGTCATTCATATCTTCTAATTAGCCACAATTCATACCAATGCATAGCATTCATCTTCCCATGTTTTTTTCCGAAAAAATTAAGAAAATCGGTTCATAAATAAGCGAGAAATGAACTTATCAGTGCAAGAAAATGGTTCTGAGAAAAATGCATTTCAAAATTTTAGTTCTCATAGAAACCAATGGTACAATGATATCTAAAACATAATTTATTCTTCTTTTTAACCTGGTTAGACAATCATCATTGGTTTTTTATGAAAGTCTAACATATTTAGAAAAGATTGACATCGAAAAAAAAATTTCAATTTTTTTCAAAAAGTTTTTGGTACCTTAGTGACATCACTAATGTTTCAAAATATTTTTGATATGCTAAAACATTGAAGTAGCCCATTAAATATGGCATTTTATTATTGAAATATTGTGTCCTTTGTTCAACCTTTGCATTGGTGTTAAAAAGATAATCTTTTTTGAAATGCATTAAGAAATATTTGATGATTAAGAAATTTCAACTTTTTTTGAAAAATGGCGGGAAATTTGAATATTTGAGAAATGAAATGCTCACAACTTTTTTTTCAAAAATTTTTTTTTGTTCAAAAATCTCTAGAACCACTTTTTAAGTCCTGACAAATAGTAAATGAATGATAAAGAAATATTTTCAAACTTTAGACGGGGACTTTAAGGAATTCGAACATATCCATCTTTTTAAAAAGAGCTACTTTAGGGAGAAATCCTCATTTCTTATTTATTGAGAGAGACTTTAGAGTTCACACAAAGATATGTCAAATTCTGAAACATGCAATTCCCACAATTTAATACTGAGATTATGATTTTTCTAAAAAACTCCAAATCAAAAGATTTTATTTGGTATTTCAGATGATAATTAATAATGTAATAGGCTGAAATTCCAAAACGACCAAATTGAAATAACACAATATCTGTTGTACTCCGTAGGCTCTAAAATTAAACCTTTTTCAAATTGCAATGCCTTACAACAAAGAACACCTACTCGCAGGCTGGTATCGAAAAATTTGTCCGCTGTGACGGAGCGTGCTATTTTGCATAGAAACACTAAGAAACCTACACAATTTATTTTTTTACTCATATGTTTCGCTATACCAAAAAAAATTCTTACTCCATGCAATGGATATATCATTTGCAGGTAATTTTAACTTTTGTTTGAAGTCCAACAACGCTAAATGTAAAGCTATTGAAAATGGCGCCTGGGTATCATACTCCAAAATGTACCATTTGTTTTATTTCTTTTTAATGGTACAATATAGTGACACGATAATATTTACATATGTTTTCAGCATAACTCTGAAGGTATTAATGATATCTTGATGTATTGGGCATTTTAAATATTTTTTATAAAAAATAATGTTTACATTTTTTGTCAGCTGTGACGGAGCAGTTTTAACTGTGAACTACGTTAAGAATTAAAGATTCAAATTATATCTTTTAGAAGTACCCTTAGAAGAGAGAACGTCACAAATCACTTTCCTAAATAATGACAAGCAGCCTCTTGGATATCTGGGGTAATGTAAATCTGAGATATAAAAACGACCACTCTTAGCATTTTTCGGAGGTTTGTACTGAAATCAACATGATGTAAACTCAATATAATATTTCTAATAAGTTTTTGCCTAGACGTCTTGAAATGTCACGTGTAGTGTAAATAGGGCTAATATAAATTTACTTATTCGAAATAGCGCACAGACATCCTGCATTCTGACAGATGTATAACCTTTTACCACATAACATTACTGTACAGATTTAATTTGTAATTATTTGAAATTCATGAAATTCATCGTTTTGCATAGACTAAAATTATTAAAAAAGTCTTTGTAAACGTGCTGCACTGTAAAACCTGTATCAATGAATATCTTTCTCTAGTGAACGCCTCTTCTTATTATCAAATATTCCTCTGACTTCTGTATGAAATTGCCTCTATGGAGTGAACATCTATACCAACTGGGAACACACTTTTGGGCTCCATATGTACGTGTTCACTGTACACATATTTTACTGTAGTTGCATCAGATAGCCATAACTCTTAGCATTTTCGTATTTCAAGATACACTCAACTTACATATTGGAACGACTAAAGAAGGTAGAACGATCCACAGACCATACCATTATATGTATTTAGCTTCATCTTCAGCAAATCATTTCACATCAAATAATCAAGTTACTGTAAAAAATGACCATGTCAGGCCGATATATCCACAGAGGGCACTACGAAAGGCAAATACCCTTTACTGAAATGGAAGTTGACTATCCTTTTTATGAGTTACCATGCATAAGTTGGATTGCAGTACAAACTGAGAAAAGAAGCTTAAAGAGTGGTCGTATATACATCTCAGAATTTGAATTGTGTACTTTTATTACGTTTCATTTTTCAGAATACTTTACGAAAGAGATTTGACACTCTCGCTCCTCTAAAGTTTAGTTGTAAAGAAATATATTATGAATCTAAATTCTTAACGTATTTCAGATTTGAAACTGCTCCGTTACAGCGGACAAAAAAATTAATTATTATTTTTTTCAAAAAAATTAAAAATACCCAATACATAAAGATCTCATTAATACCTTCAGAGTTATGCTGAAAACATATGTAAATATTATCGTGTCGCTATATTGTACCATTAAAAAGAAATAAAAGAAATGGTTCATTTTGGAGTATGATACTCCGATGCCGTTTTCAATAGCTTTTACTCTTAGCGTTGTTGGACTTCAAACAGAATTTAAAGTTACCCACAAATGATATATTCATTGCACGGAGTCAGTAATTTTCTTTGATATAGCAAAACATATGAGTAAAAAAATAAATTGTGTGGATTTCCTAGCGATTCTATGCAAAATAGCAAGCTCCGTCACAGCGGACAAATTTTTCGATACCAGCCTGTGCTACTGTAGTGCTGAAAATACCCATTTGTTCTTTCTTTGAATCGAAAATAAAAAATTCAAATTCAATTCCCAGTACAGGTGACCCCAAAATGTCACCCCTTAATTAATATCTCCGTTTTGAAGGACTTCATGATTTTTTGTGTAGATAGAGAGTTCAATGCAAAAATCATTGGAATTTACCTAATAAGCAGTCAGTGCATCATATTTGACAAGATTGTTTGTTAAAGGGTAGATTTTACATGTTATTGATAATATGTATGAAAGCAATCCAGAAATGGCTCAAATAATGGCTAAGACAGAAATCTCAATTTCAGAAAATTGCATTTTCAACATTTTCGGAAAATATCACTAGACCATACCTAGATGAAAAATGTGATCATTTTAAAAATTTTAAACAGTGTATCTACACAGATAAATTAAAAAATCATATTTGAGTTTATACTAAAATGAGAGGGTAATTTTTCTGGGTCAACCTGTATATGGAGGTGTACACGTGAATTAGGGAGCACGCGCGTTACAAATGTCCACTGAAATTTAGCAAAAGTAGAACTCCTTTGAGAAATCTTGGCTAAGGCCTGAGTATAGCAGTCACATCGGAATGCTTCTTAAAGGCTGATTGTAGACACTGAAGCTTGCGTTTGTCTAAACTGTAATCGTATAATATGTTTTAATATAATTTCGCATTTTAATTCCATCAAAATTTTAATATAAAAGAACTCGAAGTGATGGATAATAAATGCTATACCCATTCAAATGCTTGTGTTTATAAATGATACATATTTACATGTGTGCTTTTTATAATAACTCATTCCAAAATGTTTCTATTATTTGATATTTGCTCTTGGGGACTAATCAGCTCCGGGCAAGAATTTTTTGTTTGAAATAAAACAAAACGAAGGCACACAGATTTGAAAGAAAATGTGTTTTCATCAGTATTAAGACAATAATTGAACAAATTTATTTGTAATTATAGGAACAATTTTCAGTTGCTTGAAAAAGATTTAAAGAATAAATTGAAATATTGCAAAACTAAATCAATTTGTTAGTATTAAGACAGTTGGTTTATTTCACCGGATATGAAGCAGCTTTTTAAGTAGTGCGAAATTATTATTATTTCTTTGCATAATGTCATGATGATCCGGGTCTCCCAAAATTAGACAATCCCAACCCGTGCCTAAGGTTGCCAAACTTTAAGAGAGAAGTGTACAACTTTATTATGTTTTTTATTTACTGGTCATACAAATTGAATTTAATATTTCTGGTTTTCCACAAATATTTTTTGGGGAAACCCTGACTGGGGGTTCGTCCGAACCCATCGAACCCCCGGTCCCTACGGCTATGCTCTGTATAATAGTACTTAATGAATTCAGACTTCCTCTTGTGGTTACAAGGATTTCTTTACATAAAATGATGATATCATGTTTGAAAAAACAAACTATCATAGCAGCCAATCATAAGCGCCATGACATTTCTTAACAGGTCTTCAAGACCAGTTTCAATATTGACTGTTCGAAAGAATGTCACTTGTCTATTTACTTTAATTTGATTTCTAAGAACTCTAATCATAGAACTAGTATCATTTTGTAATACACTAGATACATATATTTTCGAATACATTCTGGAAGAAATAAAGTATATAATAGCCAATCAAAAGGTATCATATAATGCATTACAATTGTTATCACCCTCTCCTTGGTGGTTAAGTGATTATATGCCTGCACGGATAGTGATGTATCCTGGCACACAGACACTATACATTGAAGTCTTGATGATTATCAAAAATTCATTTCCTTATGTGATAACATATATCATTGTAAGTGGTTTCAAAATATACTTTCAGGTGACTCCCTTACACAAGTCAATCTGACTGAAATGTAAACATTCACACTAAGTCAATGTTTATTTCTATATTTTGTTCAAATAGTACACATTTCACTCAGAATATGTCCATAATGACCTAAGATTTGAAGGATTTGAAGTTTCAGCTATAGGTCAATGTGATATCATTTTTTTGATCACATAAATACATGGCTTGATGCTTTGAATTACTCAATCATAATGTTTATTCTGCTTCATTCAAATATTACTATTTTTGGTGAAAGGAGTCTGCAAAGGTGCCGCAAAAGCAATGAATGAAGAAATATAATCGGAACATGATAAAGTAACCATCCAATATGCAGAAATATCCCCTTTATTCCCCTACTTGTCCATACCCGAACATGAATGATCAAAATGTTTCCTCGAAATGAAGTTAGGAACACTCAATAATGTCATATAATAATGTAGGAAACATTTTAATACAAAATTAATATCACTTCATCTGTGATTTATCTTAGATTCAAGTGTAGACAATCACACTGGGATTTATGCAATTTACACAATCTAGCTTTTAAAACGTATGTTATGGGTCTAATGTGACAAATAAATGCATGCAATTGACAATTTTATACATTGGATCTGACTGACAAGGGTTTCAAAAGTGCCAAAAATAGACAATTCGTTCTGAATCTAAATGGATGCAAGTTAAGGTGCCTTACTAGTATTCTAATCAGTCATCCAACAATGGAACATAACAGACCATTTGTTGCATAAATGCTTTGACTGACTAAAAAGGAATGAATCTGATATGTCAAGTAAATTTTAAATGTGACAAATGACCCCTCATGGGAGCCCTTTAGTGTACTTGGTGATGAGTGTAAGTTAACATGTATCTTTATTAGATCTGTTTTGTACCTTGCATAATTTTTATATTCAAAGTTATATTGTATATTCTGTATGTACGAGTATTTGTAAAGTAAATAATAACTCTTTTAGGCTGTTATGGGACAGTACAGAAACACATGAATTGTGGTTTCATTCATTGGATGGATGACACCTGAGCAGGTTTATAATATAATTTATCCAGGCATTTTAGAGTCAAGGAGTTTGCACAGCCATATAGTATATCATAAAAGTCAAAATGTGGCAAAGTGTCAGAATTAAACATCAGTTGAAGATGTTTACCATTGAGTTTTTTCGAGCTTCTTAAGTGTAGGTACAATATTAAAGCAATAGTTTACTGTCATTCTCAGGATGAGTGTATTTACAATGTTGAAGCAATGGTTTACTGTCATTGTCATTCTCATTATCAGAATAAGTATAGTTACAATGTTGAAGCAATGGCTTAATGTCACTATCATCATCAGAATAAGTGTAGGTACAATATTAAAGCAATGGTTTACTGGCATTCTCATTATCAGGACAAATGTATTTACAATGTTGAAGCAATGGCGTAATGTCACTATCATATAGAATAAGTGTATTTACAATGTTGAAGCAATGACTTAATGTCACTATCATTATCAGAATAAATGTAGGTACAATATTAAAGCAATGGTTTACTGTCATTCTCATCATCAGGACAAATGTATTTACAATGTTGAAGCAATGGCTTAATGTCACTTTCATCATCAGAATAAGTGTAGGTACAATAATAAAGCAATGGTTTACTGTCATTCTCATTATCAGAATAAGTGTATTTACAATGTTGAAGCAATGGCATAATGTCACTATCATCATCAGAATAAGTGTAAGTACAATATTAAAGCAATGTTCACTGCCTTTCTCATTATCAGGACAAATGTATTTACAATGTTGAAGCAATGGCGTAATGTCAGTATCATTATCAGAATAAGTGTAATTACAATATTAAAGCAATGGTTTACTGTCATTCTCATTATCAGGACAAATGTATTTACAATGTTGAAGCAATGACTTAATGTCACTATCATTATCAGAATAAGTGTAATTACAATATTAAAGCAATGGTTTACTGTCATTCTCATTATCAGGACAAATGTATTTACAATGTTGAAGCAATGACTTAATGTCACTATCATTATCAGAATAAGTGTAGGTACAATATTAAAGCAATGGTTTACTGTCATTCTCATTATCAGAATAAGTGTATTTACAATGTTGAAGCAATGGCTTAATGTCACTATCATCATCATAATGTCACTCCTTACATCAGAATAAGTGTAGGTACAATATCAAAGCAATGGTTTACTGTCATTCTCATTATCAGGATAAATGTATTTACAATATTAAAGCAATGGCTAAATGTCACTCTTGTCATCAAAATAAGTGTAGGTAAAATATCAAAGCAATGGTTCACTGTCATTCTCATTATCAGGACAAATGTATTTACAATGTTAAAGCAATGGCTTAATGTCACTATCATCATCAGAATAAGTGTAATTACAATATTAAAGCAATGGTTTACTGTCATTCTCATTATCAGGACAAATGTATTTACAATGTTGAAGCAATGACTTAATGTCACTATCATTATCAGAATAAGTGTAGGTACAATATTAAAGCAATGGTTAACTGTCATTCTCATTATCAGAATAAGTGTATTTACAATGTTGAAGCAATGGCTTAATGTCACTATCATCATCATAATGTCACTCCTTACATCAGAATAAGTGTAGGTACAATATCAAAGCAATGGTTTACTGTCGTTCTCATTATCAGGATAAATGTATTTACAATATTAAAGCAATGGCTTAATGTCACTCTTGTCATCAAAATAAGTGTAGGTAAAATATCAAAGCAATGGTTCACTGTCATTCTCATTATCAGGACAAATGTATTTACAATGTTAAAGCAATGGCTTAATGTCACTATCATCATCAGTATAAGTGTAGGTACAATATTAAAGCAATGTTCACTGCCATTCTCATTATCAGGATTAATGTATTTACAATGTTAAAGCAATGGCATAATGTCACTCTCTTGTCATCAAAATAAGTGTAGGTAAAATATTAAAGCAATGTTCACTGCCTTTCTCATTATCAGGATAAATGTATTTATTACAATGTCGAAGCAATGGCATAATGTCACTCTTGTCATCAGAATAAGTGTATTTACGATGTTGAAGCAATGGCTTAATGACACTATCATTATCAGAATAAGTGTAGGTACAATATTAAAGCAATGTTCACTGCCATTCTCATTATCAGGACAAATGTATTTACAATAATGAAGCAATGACTTAATGTCACTATCATTATCAGAATAAGTGTAGGTACAATATTAAAGCAATGCTCACTGCCATTCTCATTATCAGGATAAATGTATTTACAATGTTGAAGCAATGGCTTAATGTCACTATCATCATCAGAATAAGTGTAAGTACAATATTAAAGCAATATTCACTGCCTTTCTCATTATCAGGATAAATGTATTTACAATGTCGAAGTAATGGCTTAATGTCACTATCATTATCAGAATAAATGTAGGTACAATATTAAAGCAATGTTCACTGCCTTTCTCATTATCAGGATAAATATATTTACAATGTTGAAGCAATGGCTTAATGTCACTATCATCATCAGAATAAGTCTAGGTACAATATTGAAGCAATGGTGTACTGTCACAATCATCATTAGGATATGTGTCACATGCATCATTCATGGCATCAATGTTAAGTTTGATGAACTCTTCATCAGCACTGATCCCATCCCAATCCATATGGACAATTGGTAAATCAATATCATCCTTTACAATGTCATTATTGGTACCTTTCCTTCTAGTGCCATCTTGTTGGATAGCTTCATGAGTACCATCCCATTTGGCTCCATCATTGGTACCACTCTCATTGGGATCATCCCATCTAGCACACTCATTGGTACAATCCTGCCTGATGCATTCATTGATATTGTCCTGTGTCGCATCTTCATTGGCACCATCCAGAGTTACGCCTTTATTGCCATTTTGCACATCATTCCATCTTCCACATTCATTGGCACCATCCTGCCTGATGCCTTCATTGGTGTTGTCCTGTATCGCATCATTGACACCATCCAGAGTTACGCCTTCATTGCCATTTTGGACATCATTCCATCTTCCACATTCACTGGCACCATCCTGCCTGATGCCTTCATTGGTGTTGTCCTGTATCGCATCATTGGCACCATTGGCACCATCCAGAGTTACGCCTTCATTGCCATTTTGGACATCATTCCATCTTCCACATTCACTGGCACCATCCTGCCTGATGCCTTCATTGGTGTTGTCCTGTATCATATTTTCATTGGCACCATTCCGACTTATGCCTCCATTGCCATTTTGCACATCACCGAAATCTAGAGCCTCTTTTAATCTCAACCAAAAAGCAGGGTTTTGGGAGGAATCTTTTGGCCATTGTAGATAGGTTTTCTGACCAAGGTAGCTCTTTAAACTGGAAGATATTTTATCCTTGTTTAAATCTTTTAAATCATGCAGCAAAATCATCACCATCGTATCATAGGTCGCATCGAGACGTTTATTTTTCGAGAGTTCAAACTCAAAATTACACCATCTGCTTTCTAAATAATTGTTAGACATGAGAATGATCACTTTGCGGCTCACCTCAATAAAATGTACAATATTACTGACAATAAATTCACCAGGAATAAATTCACGATCATGAATCGATAAGCAAAGTCCAAATTCATTCTCCATTTTTTCCTGTATTTTAACAATGACTGATATATCATCACTGCTACTGTAGGATAAGAAGGCATGGTAGTTGAATACTCTGTAGTCATCACATTGTGTCTTTCTTCGCAGAAGTCTCCTCACCATTTGTCGGCTCATAAGCCACATATACTCAAGGCGATGTCTTTTAGCATAGATTATACAGCATATGATACCCAGAATGATCATAACACCTAAAGAAGTCGCAACTGACACAATAAGCGTCATCTGACACATTAATGTTGTTTCCTCAATAGATAATAAATGGATGAGGATATACTCAGAGTTTCTCAGGCAATTGTATGATTTATTGTTATGAAAATGCACTCTAGTTGTATTCATCCACTTAATGAACTCAAGTTGACTACAGCCACAAAGTAAAGGATTGTTATCCAGGTCTACAACAAGTCTAGATTGATTTTGTCGAGTAATGTCATCCAATTGTGACATCATAAATGATGACAGATGGGTTATCAGATTAGATGAGACATTCAACAGTTCCAGGTTCATATTTTTACGTAAATCTATGTCCAGTGAATTGATTCCATTTGCGCTGAGGTTGATGTACTGCACACTCACCATGTCAGAAAAAGTCTGAAGATCTGGTTTGGCAAACTTTGTATTTTCCAAATCGATGGATTTCACATTTGAACAATTTTGAAAGATTAATTTTGTTTTATTCTGTTGACTGTAAACAGATTCAAGATCTAGATTTCCCATAAGTAGCGTTTCTAGTTTAGGCCAATTTTCACAAGAGAATGATTCTAGATCTGTAAACACTGTGTTCAAGTTTTGGATGTTCAAATATGTTAGGTTATCCAGTCCTGACAATGCACCATGTAGACCAGGCATGATGGCTCCAGACATATCAATAACATTAACATAGTTTGGGGAAACGATGCAGAATTTCTCATCATGTAAATGATACTCCTTTGATATGACCATATTGTCAATGTACACTTCCTCTAGACTAATTGGCATCTGCAAGCAATTTGATGGATAACTGGGACGTTCTTTGTGGTTTATCCTAATTGGTACATGAGCATTGCTTCCGATATCAAACACCTTCAATGAATACATAAGTAGAAAGTTTGCGCCATAAAAAATGTTTCCATGGTTCCAAAAGTTTAAGCTGAGATAGTTTCCTCGGAGGGAGATATACTCAACTAGACCAAAGTATGCACCGAAACCTGCTTCCAAGTAGCTGATATGATTCCCATCAAGCTTCAAAACCTTAACTTTCAATCCCTTCAAAATTTTTATCTTTTGTTTTTTCAGCACGTAACTTTGAATAGCCACACTTTTGTCATCAATGTCATTTGTGAATGATAAATCCAAGTAATCTATTGTATGATTCAATCTAACCAGTGGACGAAGTCTATTCATTACTCTGTCCAGTCCAAGCTTGCTATTTCCTCTGAAATCCAAATATTTGAGCCTTCTTAAGTCAGCCAGTGCTTTTTGTTCAAAGACACGCAACAATGATGATGTACTGTAATAATCGAATATCATAACACCAGACTGACTGTTCTTCAAATATTCCAATCTTCCAAGTCCTTGTAGGGATTTCTGCCATATTGTCTTAATTTGATTCCTACTGATATCCAAATACCTCAGATTTATGTACCTTTTGAATGCATAATTCTGGATGTCCAACACAGTTGGAATATCAGTGAGCTGTAGGTGCTGAATTGAAGATGGGAATGTCTGAGGAACACTAGTCACATTAAGTGTCTTGCAAATGTAACGCATATCACTACAGATGTAACATCCATCAGGACATGCATGATTGATCTCCTTAGTAAAATTAATGTCTGGTTTATCAGGGTACTGATACCTCGCTGATACTGTTGGCATCCCTCCCAATATGAGTACAAATATACCCATTATCTTCCAAAGAAGCATCACAGCTGTGAAGTTCATTTTGTGTTCATGAATCAAATCTGTATGAGGAATGATCAGGAAGTCCTGTCTTATATACACAGTTCAGGCCCGTAGCCAGGATTTGCCAAGGGGGGGTTCATTTTTCAAAAATTTCCAGGGGGGGTTCACATTTGACAATTTTGGCCCAAATGTGGCTAAAATTACTTGACAAGTGCTCAAAATGGTGAAAAACTGCATGAATTTGAAAGAATTTTTGGCCAGGGGGGGGGGCAACCCCCCCCCTGGCTACGGGCCTGCAGTTCAGAAGGCCTATAATCACTGCGAAGGGAAAGAGTTGTAAATTAGTGAAGCCAGTCCTCTGGCTCAGTCTTTTTTCCTTGTAACCCCTTCTTATGGTTTCAAGGATATCTTTACATAAATGATGATATCATGTTTCCTGTTAAGGAAAACTAAACAAAGTATCATAGCAACCAATCATGAGGTATTATAGTAGCCGGGACAGAACGATTCATCCCTCTCTTTTTTCCTGATAACTTTTTCAATTCTTTCATGAAATTTTCGCATGATAAACTTCAAAGCATTCCTAACAAAGAAAATATTTTGTTTTGTAGTTACGGATTTTCAAAAATGATGGTCAAATACAGCTGAGATACCAATTTTGCCCGAAATTGAAATCGAAAACTGGAATTGTCCTCCGAAAACAGAAAAATGGTCCCTTAACAAAAGTTGAATTTTTGACAACCTGTAATTATAATGAAAATTGATTATGAGTTATACAAAATATTTTGTATTTTAGGAGTGCTTTAAAGTTTATCATATGAAATTAAAAAAGAATTGAAAAAGTTATAAGGAAAGAGGAAAGGGATGACTTGTTCTGTCCAGCCTACTATATTTGTATCCAAACAATCACATTTCTTGTTGGTAAGGAATATAAAATAAAGTATATAATAGCCAATCAAATGGTATCATATATCATACTACATTATTGTTGTGATAACTCTCTCCTTGGTGATTAGTGGTAATGTGACAGCATAGATAGTGTTGTATCCTAGCTATCTTGATTACCAGAATTTTTATTCATTTCGTTTCCTAAATGTGATAACATATATCATTGTAAGTGGTTTCAAAATATACTTTCAGGTGAACCCCTTACATAAGTCAATCTGACAGAAATGTTAGCATTCACACTTAGTCAATGTTTATTTCTACACTTTATTCAAATAGTACACATTGTACTTAAAGACTCCATGTAAAGTTTGAAAATATGTATCATTTATTTAATACTTTTTTCGATCACTTAAAAAGTTATAGATTTTTGAAAAAAACTTTTGATCATCAAATATATTACACTAAACAGTGCGGTGACAAATTATATTTAGATGGTCAAACAATATTGTAATGACTTTAAAAGTGGTGTTACAAACTTTTTGAAAAAGCTGCCTTTTGAAAAAAGTTATTGACATTCTAATTTTTCAATATTTGAATTTCCCACCATTTTAGCAGCAAACGTTCAAAACTGATCATCAAATACAAGACTTAACACTGTAAACACAGTATTTCCTACACTCCATTGGATAGATCAAGTAAGAGTTATGTAATTTCAACAATTTTATTTCATTATTTTCAAAAATCATCATTTTTTTGCCTCTAAATAGTTTATAAATATGCTAAACTAATAGATGCGTGTGACAACAAAAATTATTTATTAGTTCAACTTTTTTAGAACAAAAAGTCCTTCAAAAAGAACTTCTTAAAATTAAAAAAGAAAATTTCACATATCACATTTTGATAACATTAGATTAGACTACAGCATAAGCCAGTGGTTCAAACTTTATCTGGGGCCTTTAACAAAATAGTAGACAAAAACATAGAAAAACTAAATTTTTCATTGAGCAATATCAGAAAACAAAATTGATCACCTATAATTGTTTATTTTCCTAAAATGATAAAGTTACCATCCAATGTGCAGAAATGACAAAATAGCTTCTGAGATAATTAATATCCCCTTTATTCCTTACTTGTTCAAACTCAAACATAGCTGATCAAAATGTTTCCTCAAAATGAAGTAAGAACACCCAATAATGATTATAATATTGCAGGAAAATTGTTAATACAAAATTAATATCACTTCATCAGTGATTTATCTTAGATTGAAGTGTAGACAATCACACTGGCAATATTTATTCCACTTACAAAAACTAGCTTTTAAAATGTGTTTTACGGGTCTTATCTTGCTTCATGTACAATTGTACATTAATGTAGTAAAATTACAACTCAGACATAGATTCAAGTAATATCACTTCAGCCAATGCTATCGATCGTTGACCCAGAAGAGATTACTTAAAACTATCTTAAGTAATATTTGATTTGTAATTTCATATTTTAGTGTAATTGGTGATGAGTGTCAGTTACCATGTATCTTTATTACACCTGTTTTGCACCTCACATAAGTTTTATACCCAAAGGGTAGCTTGGGTTAGCTTTCTCTTCAAATGGGAAGGTGACCTAAGTTGACATTGATTATAATAAGTTTTCAATGGTTCAAAAGATGGCAGCACATTCTAAAAAATGTTGATCATATTTGAATTCCTCTATCAAAGATGGTGATAAATTATATTTGGAGATGTATTTCAAGATTCAAGACTTAGAAACAACATCGAGAACTGCTCATTTCATATTCTGGATTCATGAAAATGAGAATTATTTTCCTTAAGAGACATACAAGTCACTTTATTTATACATTACATGAAAGCGAAAAAGAAGGAAACTGCTTACCTTGTCCATAGACTAGTTTCTTCAGATTCAGCACCTTACTCTGGTGTTTACGGTATGCCTCTGCTGCCTTCTCAATCATGGAGTCCTTCCACTTTAAATGACCTGAATTATATGGTATATATTAAGTATGAGATAATTAAACAAAGCATAACATAATTCAACGGCACCACTTGGTCAGTTATCGCAAATGGCAAATTATGTGACTGTACTAACTTGTTACAGATGGTAAAATTCATCTATTCACTAAAATAAATAGCTACTTGCTAAAGCACTTTGTCGTCACTTCTTCTTGGTGAAATAGAAAAATACAAGTTACTGATATGAAAAGAAAAGGCTGACCAGAACTATGGACCTCTAGAGTGTATTTATTTCATATTTGTGCATTTTTATTGTATATTAGCTGCAGTCTTTATAATTTTCTCTATTATATAACTTTCTGGGTAGGTTTTAAAAATGATAGTATCCAGACATGTCTTCATTGTCTCAGTGTACACATACCTGTTTCTTGAGTATCCTCTTCCTCACTTTCTCCGTCATCTTCTGAATTCTCATCTCCCTCAGACATATCCTCACCTTCTTCAAAGTCATCAAAATCGTCTTCATTTCCTTCCATATCTTGCTCATCGTCATCATCATTGTCATAATCATCACTTCCAATGTCACTTTCGTCATCATTTTGCTTTTCAAGAATCTCAGGAGTCTGATTTGTTTTTTTATTTCCCATGGTCTTGTTTTCATTGAGCTTATTCTTAGTCTTTTCTAAAATAGTGTTTACTATAGTCCTCTCATCAGGTGATTCTGTGGAACTTTTTTCTTCACTACTGGAACTATTTTCATCAGATTCAGATTCCTCCTCTGAAGCAGATGGATCTTCAATATCAGATCCTTCTTGTAAATGTTCATCAAAACTGTCTCTCTGCATATTTGTTTTATTTCTTTGAATAGATTTTGATTTTGGTGTAGATTTTGATGAAAATAATTGGATATTTTCATCATCACTCTCATCATCCTCATATTGCAAGTTCTCAGATTTTGTAGATTTATTTTGTTTTTCTTCTGTCAATTGATAGGTCTGGTCAATGATGTTGGTATCTAATTCCATGTCTTCAACCTGAAATTTTTTGTAAGGGCTAGTCATCATAACAGAAAGAGTGATCATGAAAGAATGCGTTATTTCCAGTGGATATTTTTCTTCCTTTTGATTCTTTGAGGAATAAGATAATAAACTAAATGAGAAAGTTTCAAGACATGCAACAAAAAATATTAACGCCCCCTTTTAATCATTCATTTATGTTATCAAACTATTAACAATTTTAGCAAGGTTTTGATTTACTTACTTCAGACACATCATCTTCCTCATCACTTTCAATATCATCATCTCCATCATCATTCTCATCTTTATCAAATATAGCTTTTCGACGAGTGCGACCAGAGTCATCTAGAACTTTTTCTTCGGAAGGCATTTCAAAATTAGGGTTTCTGAAAATCAAAATCACTATACATTGAGGGTACTTAATATTATATCACTTCAATTGGTATGTTTTTCTCAAGAAGGAATGGAACAGAGAGTAAGTTTTGAAAAAATTCTCACAATTTTATATTTTCTGCTATTTTCTAATAAAAAGTCCAAGTCCAGTTCTGACTAAATTTCAGGGATTATCTTTCTATTTCTAAAGCTATCTGTCAAAAATTGAGGGCAAATTGAGACAATTTTTCAAATCTAATGAGTTTGACCATTTCTCCAACTTCAATAAAGTCTATATTTAAACAGATATCTCAATTCTTTTTCTGAAAACAAAGTTAGAGTTGCCAGGGTAACAGTGACTTCTAAAATGATTGTTTCCAACATTTAACACTCTCTGTTCTTTTTTTATCCCTCAAACTCATGAAACAATATGTTGGAGATCAACAATGTGCATAGTGACCAAGTTCTGTTTTTTCATCTTTCTGTTGGGTATGAGTCTGCATGTCTTGTTTTTAACAAACATAAATTCATATCAATTATAATTTGTGCTAATTGGCATGTATTATAATGGCTTTGTCATTTTATTCTTCTCATGTTTCACTTTACTCCGAAAAATTAAAAGAATGATAATACAGCGAAAAAAGAAGAGACACAATATAAATAATAATTATCACATTTTATAGAGCAAAATGGGTGCCATGTAATTTAACAAGCATAAACAAAATCTTATAAGATCTTGACACTAGTCTGCTCTTGCATCAGTAAAAATTTCAAGTTGAACAGATGAGTGATTTTCCTGAAATTTTGATGACAAAATTTACAGTATGTGGTGCCCATCCATTCATAAACCCACCCACCCAGACCCACACCTAGCTGCACAAGATGACGACAATATAGTATTTTTTCAAAGTTTGATACAGACTTACCCTTCAATATCCTCTGATGTTAAAGGTGCAGTATCTTTAAACAATGACAGCTGACTGGATGCCATCTTAGCATCTAACGTCTGCTGGGAATCCATCATTGTTGACACCATCGCATTAGATGGTCTCTCTTTCTGAAATTAGAACATTGCAAAGTTGTAGAAAAATTGGCGAAACCAGATGGTTACAAAACAGCACTGAAATTCGGGGCCAAATACAGTTGATGCAAAAAAGGCACTAAATTTCAGTATATAAACAACACTGTCAGAATTCAGTGCCAGAACCAAATTATATTGACTGTATTCTGAAACAAATCATGAGACTTTCCACATATAACCAGAACAACTTCCTTGGAGATAAAATTGTCCAAGCACTATTTCTCAAGATTTGTTGATTTTTACCCAATACCCAAAATTTGAAATTCATTTAGTAACACATGAAACATTTGGTAATAATCATTAAACATTCCAGAAAGATATATGTTTAAAGACTTTTTATTTATCTAATCAAAAATGGTTTAAGCCCTCACCTCAGTTTTCTTATGTGAATGGCTCCCACCCAGGTCTATGTAGACTGCATCTTTGTCATACACTATGCCTCCTACACCAGACATAGGGGCATAGATCAGTCTCTCCTTCTCATTTAGTGAGCGCTTCTTAACAGTGTCTGGCAGAGGGCAGGGATCATGCAAGAAACTCATGTCCTTTATATGGAAATCTCCAGCACCTATACCAAAAATTCTCCATTTTGAAAATTCTCCATTATGAAACACATTTTAAATAATATCTTCTGAGTTTAACAAGTTCAATAAACACATTTATGAACGTCACATTGGAAATAATCTAAGGATACATGTAGTTTGATCTTGATGCCATCTTCATATACTAACCTGGTATATGTATGTTACTTTTGTTTTTAAAATGGGTTCCTCTGACATATCCATACAGCGAGATATTACGATCAACTTTGGGGTTTATCCGAATGGCATCAGGCTCAGTGAGATCTTCCATTCTGAAACAATTTGTTAGACTACTGTTAATCAAAAAGGTATCACTCTTGTCAAGCATGCTTAATTGAGGCTTGAGTGTTGCCAACTTACCGCACCTTGATATATAGCCTGTTCAACTGACTGTTAAATCGAACAATCACAACTGATAATAAATACAGGCATGCCCCTAAGTGTATTTTAATCCAACAATGATGCAGTTCTATCACACGAATGTGATTGATTGATCTTAAGTTCACCAGATTTGCCCAGTGGTATCATATTGACTCTTGTACTACAGACATTATTGAAGGAAATCATCATTTCTAGTGGTAAAATCTATTTATTTATTTCACATTGATTAAATATGCTCACAATTTAGAGTTGATGTGACACTATAAAGGTGTCTCAAAAATCTTCTAGTACTAGAATAGTACTTCATTTGATTTCTCAAAAATCCGGATTTTCTTGTCTCCAGTTTTGCGACTTCATTTGGATAGTTATACACCGAGATTATTCTAAAAACAGAGCATACGTGTGTAGAGCTAGTCTACTACATATTTACCTGTCTGCTATGATGTAAGGATGACTACTTCTCCAGACTAGAGGTCTAAACTTCATGACAGAAATGAACCTGCCTAAGTTGTGAACCTCTGTCTTCTGGTATTCTCCATTCACCATTCCAGATAAGTAGAAAAGTTTAGCTCCCTGATATATTTCAGTCCAGAATCTGTTCTTTAGTCTCTTTTTAGTTTTCTTCAATACTTTACTATTTTTGAACTGGTCCAAGTGAGTCAACACACCCATTATCTTAGGGAAGCCATGCACCTGGCAGATGTTCAGGAATTCAAATGTCTCCATTTCAAACCCAAAGCTAGCATCAACAAGCAGAAGTACCTACAATATAATGTCGTTTCATTTAAGATTGAAATTTAGTATTTGAAATTTCTATTCATTCATTTAAATTCATTCAAATTTAATCCTGAATATTATACACTTTTATTCAAGATACCCATAACGATAACAATTAGGTGAGTAAATATTTCAAATGTGTACATGTACTTGTTAAGGTGTACAATCATGTATATGTTAAGGTATACATGTACATGTTAAGGGGTACATGTACATGTTAAGGTTTACATGTACATGTTAAGGCGTACATGTACATATTTTAAAAGCTGTACATGTACATATAAGCTGTACATGTATATGTTAAGGTGTACATGTACATATTAAGCTGTACCTGTATACCTATATGCTAAGGTGTATATGTACATATTAAAATGTACATGTTAAGGTGTACATGTTCATTTGCTTACCAAATCTGCCACTTTAGCAATATCTATCATAGAGTTGATATCATTATTACACTCAATGATTGTAATTCTTCTTTTCTTGCCTAAAAGATAAATCAAAAAACTAATCATGACATTCACAGCATTGAAATACAATGTATGTTCAAATGTCAAGTTTTCGTTGAGTTAAAACTATTTTTCACCAAATATATATTACAGTATATGTTTTTTTATTGAAATATGTATATGTATGATGATAAGTTAATAGTCAATAAAAATCAGGCATATTCAATAATGCCTGTTTGATCTTCTCATCAAAAAGTAACTTGACAATGGATATGCAAAATAGTTGATACTGTTGAATGTTTCTCTCAAAAAATGACACATTACCAACTGTATTGAGAATTATATTGGGAATGATAATGTAAAATTGATTTGAGAATATCTTGGCTTTTGAGCAAAATGACTGTAGAACTACATACCCGAGACAATAGTTACAGGTCCCTTGATAGTGGTCAACTTTTGTCTGGTAAAGTTACGAATCAGACAATTTACAAGTGTTGTCTTGCCAACTTTTGGTGGCCCTACCACAGCAACTACAATAGGAGGAGGTTCTACTGGGGTTCGGTCAACTACTGGGACATGGTGCCGTTTTTCTTTGATGTCGAGTGTTCTAAAATATTATATAAGGAACACATAATTTGATTGTGAAAAGAAAAACTAATACAAATATCATAGTGATATAACTGTAATAATATAATATGTTATCTGCCAGTCTATAAATATATCAGGCAATAAATGCTTTATAAAGTTTTTCATACAGTAAAATCGATGCAATGGAAACAATTGTTTTGAGTTGATCAATTTTAAAATGGAAGATTTTAAAAAGAATGTGACTGTCACCTACCGATATTAAGGATCCACTCAACATATTTAACCTTACCAGATTTGTTTTGTCAACGATGAAGCATAAGCACAATATCCAAGAGAAAATAAATTGAATGTCAAAACTTTTTTTTCATGGTAAGATCCGAACAAATGCATCCTTGTTCCTTGATTCTTCAATATTTTGGTCTCACTGTATCAATAAACTAATAACACAGAAGATGATTCATCTATGTTAGGATTTGTTTAGAGGATACATGGATCTCTTAAACCCCTCATCAAAATTGACTTCTTAAAGTACACTACCTGATCTCAAATTTCTGTCTACTACAGTAATGGTTGACTCTTACCTCCTCCCCTAGACTCGTCCACAAATGAGCTTAAACATTCTTAAATATTCAATACCTTTTTCAACCAACATGGCTGACTGATAAGCCAATAAACTACTTCATCTGACGTCAACAGCAAGTAATGGAAAATCAAAAAAGTATTCAACGCTTCTTTCTATTAGGTAATGCACTTTTGCTTCATGGTTCACAAAACAAAGCTTGAAAGTCCATGAAACGGTTAATGTATAAGTGTACACTAAATACTGGTAGGTAAGTGACAGTGTCATTCATTATCAAACTCTTATTTTTTAGATTTGATTGATGCAGAACAACTCTGAGTTAGACTCTACCTTCGGACTTGTCTCGCTACTTTGTTGACGGAATGAAATGCAAAGGCACGAGGGTTTCGTTGGCGATCAGTTTGCTCCTGTTCATGTTTATTTTTTGACTTTTTCTTTTCTGCCTTAGAGCCACTTTGCTTCTGACGATGTTTCTTATGAGACTGCTCTTCTGATTTGTCAGCCATTTTGAACAGTGCGTGGGCTAAAAATTGGATTCCTATAAAATGCAAGACAAAATTACATTTACGCAAAATAGTTATTAGTTGCAAACCTACTGTTTGTTAATGCAGTGCTGCAATGCAGGTTAAATTCTGATACGATTTGCAATTTCGATGTTACCAGAACTGACCGACATTTTTGTTATATTCCAAACCTGTCTCCAATATTTTCGTAATTATGCATCAATAGGGTCTAAGGGGGATACAGGATGGAGTGTATGTATTCATAATATGCATGGTTGAATCACATTCTTTATGTAATATTACCATGTTTTCAGGGTTTAATTAGTTCCGCTTGTCGAAACCTGTATACTATTAAATTAACGCATCAAAGGCAAAATGATCATGGAGGTTAGACCTAGCCGGGGCTTACTCACTTCGAGAGCCATGTTAGATTTTGAAACTTATGGCTCTCGAACGGGGAAATGGATGGCTGAATTATAGTGACCTTTGAAACACGAATTAAGTCGATCAGCGTCGATCAGCGGCTTACTTTTATTCTCTAACTATGTCATATATCATTATCATCCTTCCATGCAAGTATCAGAGCACTGAAGTACTTCCTTTTCGATCAAGACTTGTAATTGTTAGTGGAGTGAATGTTTTTTCTGCCAAATTCCAATATGACGTTTTCTGATCGGACATTTTTGTAAATCTCCGGAGGTTGTCCGAACCTAACTCATTCTCAAAATTCATTTCGTTTGTTGCCTATCTCGCTCCTAGCAAACCGCCATATTGGAAATGGGTCGAAAAAACATTCACTTGATGAATAATTTACAAGTCTTGATCGAAAAAGAAGTATTTCAGTGCTCAAATACTTGCACGGATTGATGATACTGATGGAAGACACAGTTAGAGACCAAAAGTAAGCCGCTGATCGACTTAATTCGTGTTTCAAGGGTCACTATTATTCAACTGCCCAAGTGCGCCGTGGGAAAGCTATTATATCAAAATCCACATAGCTTTCGCAGGAAGTAAGCCGGGGCCATAAGACATGTCAGATAGGAAACAAGGCCCAGGCTAGGTCTAATGTTGTTGGACTACCATCTGCAGATGTCGAGAATCTGTACCTCCTTCTTCCCCCTGCTATAACCAATTTGGAAACACCCAATTAAGTGAATCACGTGATCTTCTTATGCGAAATGACTTATACATGATTTCTGACGCAGTGTTACAACAGCCAATCAGATTGCGAGTTCTTAATCGGGGAAATGCTAACTGCTTATCGCAGGGGGTAAAAAGAAAGAATATATTCTGGATTTTGAAGCCCTGTGATCGGAGGATGGAGAGCATCCTCCTTGGATTTGGGGATTTTTAAAAATTGGTGGGCGATAATAGGGTATTTTAAACAAAACATGGATTCTATGCATTAAACGCACAAAATTATTTTGAATTAATTACAACAAACCATTCTGAATTATATAACAGAGTGTAAATTATAATATTTACCTGGGAAACAGTCTTATTCACTGCACAATGATTGTTTATTCTTAAAAAATTTTGTACACATGTTTTTATTTTCAAGGTCAAATGAGTTCAAAGTTCAAGAATGAATTTACCAAGAAGAAGTACTTGGTTGATATCAAAACTGCATAAAACCTTTCAATATTTTCTTATTTAGCATTTTCATATATTCGAGTAATTTTCAATGTGTTCCTGGTATATAACACTCTTGGCCAATCAACAACTTTATCTTATTCACTGCTAACCATCACATGATTTGATGAGTCACATGACCAGAAAAGTTCAAACAAAATAGAAGACCAAAGTTCCCACTCAATTGAGCTGTTTTATCAGTAACTATCAAGTGGACAATGAGGTTGTTGCTGTTAGCTGTTACACTGGCTTATGGTAAGTTTATTTTGGAAGTAATAAAGTCACTTTTAGTTTCCAATATTTGCAAAGATAAAATTTTCTGAATTTTTTATTGAAAGTGAAAACTTCAGCTCATTGATTGGTTATGCTTCATTTTAGGAAGAAGAGTATGAATTCAATGCTAATTGTTTTGTGATAATATATTTTATTGTCATTAGCGCTTATATCACAGTCACTGTTATTCTGAGAATCAAGATAGCATCAGTGGCTAAACGCACTGTTACGCACAGAACGCCGCCTGTTACGCACAGAACGCCCGTGCGTACCAATTGTTTCAAGATTTTTCAAAAACGAGGCTTATAAAAGCGTATTTATTTATGATTGTTAATATTGTGTAAATAGGCAATTCTTCAGATAGCCAGATAATTTCTATATTTCGTAATCTTCAATTAATACAATTTGTCCAAGCATATCAGTCGATACTGTTATGTTTTTCTGGTCCTTTAAAATCAATGTTACAAGATAGATTTTACACACTGTGCCTACTTCATGTCCACAGGGACGATTTTGTAATCAACAGAGAAAGTGTCTTAGATATATGGGCGAGAAGGAAGCCAAGGAGGCTTGCTTTAGCCTTGAACTGAGCTTTTGCCAGTTAATCATGGACGTTACATTTGACCTGAGACTCTCGGTGAAGACTGCGAATGAATTGGAAAAAATAAAATTTGTTAAAATGCATCAATTTAATTCCGTATTTTTAACGATTTTGTTATGTCAGATTCAAACATGACCGTGCTCTAATTGAATTTCTCAACCAATCAGAATGCAGCATAGCCAATATAGAACGTTCTCTAATTCTCCATAGATGCACGACCGTGCTCTATCCAATCATCCGGGAATCTACGTATTGTATTTGCATTGTGACGTCACACCTGGGAATGGCGAAAATAACAGCGAGCTCGAGTTTGGTGTATCTCATGTAGCTCCAATCCCCAATTCTCTGAACAATGTTTTCATTTTCTATATGTTTGAATCGGAATAAATAATGATAGGCCATTCAATATGGTGAAATTCAGCACTCGTTGGACAGAATGTCAGTACAAATGCACTCACCTTCGGTTCGTGCTTTGTACGACATTCTGTCCAACACGTGCTGAATTTCACCATATTGAATGGCCTATCATTATTTATTCCTTAAATAGAATTATCTAAAGTTCAAAAAACACTCAGATTGCATTAAATAACATATTTGAAAAAAATTTCCCGGGGGAGCATGGCCCCGGACCCCCAGAGATGCACGGCCTTTGGCCACGCAATCAAGCATCAGCGAGTGCGTATCAACTCAAAAAATAGCCCTACGCCCATGCTAGTGGTGCAAGTTGATAAGAAAAATTGAGACGACTCGATTTATGAAAAATGTCAATTAAAAAGTGTCTTTTGTTCTCTTTGTTTTTCCAAAATTTGACGAAGAAAATTGCATGAATTCACTCCCAAAACAGTCTATAGATGCTTGAATTAACCATGGGCTTTGAAAGCCCATGAATTAACATAAAGGTAGATTGACATTTGCACGTTGGTGAGGCTATGCTGCCCTTTTATAATAGCCTTGTAGAAGGCTTCAGCGTTTTTTGATTGATTTTTAGAATTTGAATATTTGTTTCCAAATGTAAAGCTTTACATTTGGAAACAAATATCCAAATTTTAAAAATCAACAACTAGAAGACATAACATTTCCCTGTGTTGTGCTCTATTAATAAGCGATTCAAATGTAAACTTTCTCTTAAAAGAAATAAATCTTCCAGATTTGTAGAATTTTCCAGCGTTCATTTCTTCAGATTACCGGGTGTGATAAGTTGTCTGTAATGTATGATTATGGGAGGATTTGGCACGTATTACTGACAAAAATAACATACCTCAATGAATACCTGAGTAGAATTATTTTTATATAGTTGAATACCTAATAGTATGAGTTTATTGGCAGACTTAGGAAAATTTTTATGATTTGACCCTTAAAGTAAATTCTATAATGTGTTGGACTTTAGTTAGGACAGCCAGGGAAGCATTTCCTGCAATCTAATCCATCAGAGTCGTCTCGTCCACAATTCTGATTGATAACCTAGATCCTGATAAACGGTACCTAACCTGATTGGTTAAGGCACTAATTACTATACTACAAACCTTAGGACTTTGGGGAACAAAAACCTTGAACCTGCACTGAGTTATTCTTAAAATAACTACTACAATGCTTGGGATCTGATACTACAAACACTTACAGTTATAAATCACATAAAAACTATGTTATGATTAGATACTTGGTTGTTGACATGAAGCATTGACAGTTACATTTGAAACGGACATTTAGACAATAATTGTCCTGTAAAGGGTCATGTGATGAAGTTTGAAGATTCAGTTGTGGCAAAAATAGTGTGAACTAAAAGGCTTCAACCTTCGTATTATGACATGCCATACTAGTTTTTATATAAGAGGGATTGATTGATAGATTACTGAAGGAGAAATGCAATTTTGTGTTAATAGGGCAGGTGGTGGTCCAAAAATTTGGAAAATGTCTTGAATATAGTGGAAATGTGTCAAACTTGGATGAGCATGGGCTGAGAAAGCCCATGGTATGGGGTTACTTTATTGTAGGGCTATTTTGACCATGAGGCTATTTCGACATTGGCTTATATTTTCAATTCACGCAGTCTGCCATGTTTGTTTTTTGAGAATTTAAAAAATAAATTGAAATCCCCAATGGGTGAGATCTTAATCCAAGATGGCTAACCCTGGAAATGTAAATTATTGACCATGGTCAAAGTACCCCAATGACGTAGTAGTTACCCATCGAAGTTCAAAGTATTAACCCTTTATAAAAAATTAATATCTCTAAAATATTTCAAAACTTAACTAGGCTTACAACATTCAAATGCGCATAGGCTGTTAAGTCATAAGATTCAGCCTATAATATAAACGGTTATTTAATAGGCCAATGTTTTATGTTTCAGCCCATGGGGCTATAGTTGGTGTAGACCAGTGTGCATGGGGACCCTCCTACTGGTGCAGTCACATCAGCCATGCAAAGGCATGTGGGGCAGTGAAACATTGTACAGACACTGTATGGAGGAACACGATCCAACCTAAAGCGGTGAGTATACATATAGAAATTTCCAGAAAAGCTATTTACATGTTCACTTGTGTACAAGTGACTTCTTTAGATCTGTTTGGTGAAATATATTTTTGAGACGCAAAAATGTAATGCTTCAGCATGCTCTCACTTTAAGATAAAAGTACATGTAACAGTTACAACAGTAACTGTTGTTGGACTTGTTTCCATAATAAGCCTCATCTGAATGCTTACAACAGTCAAAAAGCAATATTTGAAGATCCCAAGCTTAATAATGAACCATATACCAACCACAACCATTGGGTACATGTTTTGTCATACCCAATTTAGGGATGGTCCTTCTTGTGTGGTTAACAAACAGACCAGAGAAGAAAGAAAACCAAACTAAAACACATGTGTCTTATTTTTGGTCTATCCAAAGGTTGTTTGTTTCCTATCAGCTGATTCAAACAGGATATATATTGTACAGCACTGTTTTAGAGTAAGATATGATCTGTGTTAATTGATTCATGTGCCAACTAAGGATATTCATTTATCAGAGTATTTTAGTTTTTAATTTCAATTTAACATAGTTTTGTTTTGATATGTGTTTTAATTTTCAATTTCCCATTAATTATTTTGTGATGCCACCGACACACAATTCTTTCAAGTCCTTTTGGCTATTTCTTCATTTGAACTATTAAAATGTCTTCTTTATTCTATTCAGTTACGATATTATTATTTGTTATACTTCTCAGGATTGTTTGTACATAAACCATGATGTCATAGTTTTAATTTAGACAAGATGAAATCAGTAATGAGGAAGTCAATTCAATATTTATGTATTTTCACTTTCCTTTTGCACGTATTTCAGAATGTATCTTTTTATACTTGTTCATCAAGCAACTGTTCATAAATCTCATTAAAAACCTTGCTTTCCTTATTGAAAAGTACGAATTTCCTTTAATCGAGACAGAAAAAATCATGTTTCGATTATTATTCTCCATAATATTACATTGTGCTTTGTAAACTTTCAGGATGGCGAAGTATGCCAGATGTGTGAAGCTCTACTCAAGGATGTTGATGATATGTTGCAGAACCAGGAAGACCAGGTACTTAATATTACCTAATTTTCACATATTGTTAAAAACAGAAGGAAGGGGTTGTCCTTATTATTACTTGGCATTTAACAAATGGTAAATGAAAGAAAAGAGTATAATGTTCAAAATTAGGTACAAAAAGAGAACTTTGTGAATAAAAGGTTTTTCATTTCCCTAACATATTCTATCTAAGGAAAAGTCAGTCTGACCTCGAAACAGTTGAAGTATGAAGTACATTTTATTGGTGATCTCCATGCTTTGTTGTGCTATGAATCACACTCATGTGATGTTAATAAAATAAAAAGAGGTCAAAAGTGTGCTTAAGTTCTTCTTCGTGACACAGTTGTTTAGTTAAGGGAAAGTCAATTTTAAATACCTCTTTCAATGTCTCCATGTGTTTCTGAGTCATGTTACAGTACATTCTTTCTAAACATTGAAATATAAAAAATGTTTGATTAGATAAATTGAATTGAATTAAATTCTATTTTCTTTTTATTTATTCTAATCTTTATGAATAATAGTTGATTCAAGTAATTTTTTTTCAACCTAGCATCTCTGGTTTTAGTTTTCATGTGAATGTCTATTTCTAAAAGATGGTTTATTGCTCAATACTCAAATTAAATATTCACTTTTTATTTGCTCAATCCATTTCAAAACAATTGAAATACAGCAAATATGTGAGGAGAGTCTGAGGTGAAGCATCGCTTTAATTCAACATCATAATTGACATTTATCAGCGAATCAAAGTATTTTATATTTCTATGCAAAACCTGCTTTCAGGTGAAGAAAATAATAGGGTTATCTCCTAATTAGATTTGTTTTATTTTATTTATTTATTTGTTAACACTAAAACAGTGACACATGGGGTCATGATAGCCTAGTGCCTAGTGCGGCATATTACATTGATAATACATTTTAAGATATACATGAATTTTAAACACTATATTATAAAGATATTGACCAAATATCTAAAGTAGAATTTCTTTTCTTATGTATTTTAACTAAAAATTGTTTTGAGCTTTGGTCAAACAAAAAAATATTGATCTTTGCCTATGGACACTACCTCCGAAGACCCATTTCATTCATTCTGCTGTTACATTGAAACATACATTTCCCCCCCAGACACTGCCGTTTATCATAACTGCCCCATACACTTTAGTGTTGTAAAAATTATTTACAAATAATATACATCCTAACATGTATATGATATCGTTTACAACAAGTTCTAAAATGTTGCTACAAGGTTTGCTTTAAAGTGAAAATCAAATGTAATGACAGCGCAAATGAAAGGAGAATTTGAAAAATAAATCATTGTATTTTCATCTTTCAAACAGTCAAACCTCTCTTGCCTTGAGCACCTCCCAACTTGAATATACAAGTATACCCAAGACATTCATTCTAGAGGGGATTGAAAATGTTATTTTGTAAGTACTTTAATCAAGGACACTCACCAGTTAGTAGACGAGTTTTATAATTTACAAATACAAAGATAAATAAGTGGCATATAATGATACTCATGTTTAGAATATTGATAGTGATGCTATCTAAGTGTACGGTGTAATCTTTATTGGCCTGTGTCAGGTATAGTTTTTTACCTTACCGGTAACTCATTGGTCACACGCGGTACTAACTTCGATCGTTAATTTGAATTTTTGACCTACCAGATGCTTGAAAATCAAGGATTGCGAGTCTCATACTGCACCGTTTTTCTTCAAACTTATACCATTAAAAGCAAAACAAAATTGCCTTTCTGTCGGTGCATTACTTTATTGTAAAGAGTCCCTCGTTCTAGCAGGGTTTTGGTCCCCAGCTTTTAGAAGGCCTTCTTACAGCTGGGGACCAAAATGCCGCTGGAAGTAGAGACTCTGTTTAAGACTCTGTTTAAACGGTGCAGTGTGAGACTCGTAATCCTTGATTTTCAAACATCCGGTAGGTCAAAAATTCAAATTAACGGTCGAAGTCAGGACCGCGTGGGTCAGAATCAGGATATGTTGATGGTCATTACCTTGTTTTTCAAAATTGCATGAATCCTCTTAAAATTTTTCATTTCCAATAGACCAAATAACTTTCACATATAGTTTTGACTGAAATTCTGGTTACACCATATTGGTAAACTCACTAAGTCACCTCAGAAAATAATTCTTAGAGTATATCTGCCAAAATCATATAAAAATCTTTATTAGGGCATGGACAGATGAACTGCATGGAGTTTTGTTCTTAATTCTCATCCCGTTATGCATTTGAGGTTTCCTAATTTCCCTCTGTTTATCTCTATTTTTCATATCTATTGTACTTGTATTCCTTGTTTTATCCTCCTGAATTTTCTGTTTTAATGCTAGAATTGGTGTATCCTATATGCTTTACAATTGTTATTTCAGAAGATCATCATAGCCTATATGCAGAAAGCCTGTGCTGTCATCCCAGTCAAGTCTCTGGCTGATGAGGTGAGTTAACCCTCCCAGTATTCCTCAGAGTCCATCCCAGATCTTTGAGTCCAACTGCATGAGTGTAAAACACCCCATCCCTCTCCCTGAGTCTAATTTCCTTAATAATGATGAGAAATGTGAAAAACTATGTACAATTTGCGTATAAGGATTGTAAATGTTCATTAATTTATCCCATTTAGTATGTCACTAGTCTAAAACTGTTAAGAATATGTAATAATGTGTTCCCTTGAAAGGGGTTGCTTCCATGTAAGTTAGAAATCAATATGTGTATATAAAATGTGTCTTCATTTGAGAAATCGTCCTCCGATCACTGGGCTTCAAAATCCAGAATATATTCTTTCTTTTTACCCCCTGGGATAAGTAGTTAGCCTTTCCCCGATTAAGAACTCGCAATCTGATTGGCTGTTGCAACACTGCAACAGAAATCATGTATAAGTCATTGCGCGTAATTAGATCACATGATTCAGTTTAATCGGGCGCTTCAAAATTGGTTATAGCAGGGGGAAGAAGGAAGTACGGATCCTGGATACCTGCTTAGGAGGATGTAGAGAAATGGATAACATGAACAATTCATACAGTAAAGAGTGAGAAACATGAACTAATTAAAGCAATACTTCTGTTTTAGTGTGACACTACTGTGACCACTTACTTCCCAGAGATTGCTGGTATGTTGGCTGAGGCCATAGACCCTGTGGCAATATGTGGTGCCATGAATCTCTGCCCTACTCTGCAAAATACTGTAGTAGTAGATAAAACAGTGAGTATAAATGATTTGTGATGTTATACACTTTTTGAATAAAGAGGTACACTTGAACTAAATCAAAATATTTATTCAAATGTAGAAATTACAGAAGATCTGAGATGCAAAATTGTCAAAATTATCCTTTTTTGACTGATTATCCTGAAATGAAATTAGATCTGTCTGACATTTTAGAAAATAGACATTGAGATGGAGATCGAAATAAAGTGAGCAAAAAATTGTTAGAAAGGAGGGCGAGTTGTTTGTAGAATGAATCGGGGGATTTTTTTCGTGAATTTCGCTTATGTTTTTCATCCAAAAAACATCAATACACTTTAAAACATTTTGTTTACTTTAAGATTACACCATGTAATCCAAAAATATATTTCTCGTTTTCAAAGATAATCCATGGATTAACACCCAGGTATTTTTATTTTTCAAACTTCAGAGGGCTGGGAATCATTGATGCTCAACGCTTTTGAATATGATAAATGCTGTTTTAAATAGGTTTTACGTATGCCATTAATTTCTCAAATTATGTAAGCTGAATGCGCCCTAGAATATTCTCTTGGAGGAATCCAATGGTAATCCAATGGTAGTTCCAAGCAGATTTTTAGATGGCAGGTAAGTAAATTCTTTAGTACTCGCCTTATTGGGTTGAGTTAGTTTATATTCAAAAATTATATATGATTCTGTAAAGATGTCAGTGTGGATGCTATATAGATTGCACAGTATGGTAAGCTGTATAATCCTATATTATGTAACACGAGTACAGTTTTGGTTGACATGATTGTGACTGAGTGAGAGATTAAACTCTTTAAGGTAGTTCTGCATGTTGATAATTTTTACTAATTTTGGTGATGAATAAATTATCTGATATTTATAAATTGGGCAAAATTTTTTACATTTTAAGTGGATATAAAGAATTATGGTAACATACACATGGACCATGCATCCACATACAATTACAAATGTGAAAATATTCTCCCTTTCATTGATTAATCATGAAAATTATTGAAAAATATCAAGACATGTCTACCTTAAAATCAAATTGGCTTACAAGTACCCTAAGCTATTTTTACATTTTTATTGCAAGAAGATCTTTTTGCAAGGGTTACAAAGGTTGAAATATTGTGGTGGCTCTATTTGGCTGGAGTTTAATATTCAGACCTAGCTATAGGTATTATTACATTTATATGTACACTAGTATCTTGTTGACCTATATTCAGCACTGTATTGATGAATGGGCCACTTATTAGGGCCAATATTCAATCATAAAGTGTACAGGGGTAGAGATGCCAAACCAAGAAGTCTTTTTGTGTCTGTCAAAATCCATTTGCATCCTACACATCCCAACATATTATCCAAATATGTTATTAATTAATGAAACATAACAGTATAATCTTTGGATTTAGAAAGTTGTATGGGATTTCATTAGTATAAAAGTTGCTTTTGAAGCATTTTTCTATAGCCATTTTGTAGGAAAAAATGATGGAAAAAATGTATAATCTTTTAATTTGAAGTATGACCTGAATCGATTGCAAACTTTATATTTGCACATCTGATGTGATATACCATTTGTGTCATACTGTGAAATTATTTAATTTGCAATCGATTCAGGTCATAGTGTATTTTAGGTATTTTTGTGAAAATCAATAGAAACCAATGGCCTCTATTGGAATTGATGATATCCACATGTTAAGTCAATGGAGCCCATTCAATGGCAAGTCAATACACCCTTGCTGAACTAAATGACCTCAACCTCAGCCCATGTGGGTCCAAACGCCCAAATATTTTCCACAGTATTATGTGACATTGAATTCTTTATGTTACACCTAAAAATGATTCATTTTGTTCATGGGGATATCATAATGGAAAGTGCACTAGACCCTTATTGTAATTGTATGATATCGTATTTGTGATTTGAATACTGTAGATTGGGTTAGTTTGGCGCTACTTAATTTGGCGATTTTGCCATTTTTGGTATATTGGCGGCTATTTAATTTGGCGGATATGCAAAAAAAATGTTAATGGAATGTTAAACTTACGCGCTGTTTGCGAATTACCATGTAAATGGGCATGTTTGGCTATGTTCATTTTTTCTTTTGAGGACCACTGGCGATATTCACCACGTCTGTACATTTTTGTTAGATCATCCTTTACATTTTACACCTCAATCGATGCTGCTACTTTTCCCTGAGTATAAATGAGTGACTGACCAGTTCTGAGCCAATTTATGAGAGACATTTTTTCATATTTTTGGAAAAAATAAACCGGAAGTGACCTAAATACACTGGACGAAATACCCTAGATGATTCCCGGGGATTCATTCTAAATTTTGGCGGAGATTTATATTGGCGAATTTTTCAATTTCGCCAAATTCGCCAAATTAAAGCGGGCGCCAAATTAACCCAATCTACAGTATACACTGTGATATTTGAGAAAAAGAATGTTTTGTTTTAGTTTCATTGCAATTTATAACCCTAATATCCTTCCCAGAATCTTTCCTTGTCTTCCAATTTTCTAATAACCTCAGAATACAATTTTCCATGATCATTTTTATGTCACCACCACAAGTGGTGACATATTGTTATGGTCTCAAACTTTTTTGTGGACGGTGTTCAGTGGTTGGTGTTTATCATTTGGCAGTTGGTGTTTGGCAGTTGGTGTCTGTAACAAATGGCAGGTGTTGACATTTTGCATGTGAATGCCTTGTCTTATAATGTAGCCAACTGCAATGGATGTAAAACGGATACAGTTAACTAATACATTTCTTGGCATCAATTCAAATCATATGCTAATTTTAAATGAAAATGCTTTTTTTCATGTTTTACCACTCATAAATGCCATAATATCTCGATGTCACATTCAGGAAAATATGGCTATCAACAAGTTTTGAATTCTTACAATCCTGGAAGTTGTACATGTAAGCGTGCACATCTGTCAGTTCAGTTTATGTGTAAAAGTTAATCCCCTAAGCCTTAATACCTGATGCATGAAATATTATGAATGAGTTACATAATATGTACTCGTGCTATTTAGGTAAATGTTGTGCTGTTTCACCAGATTTGACTGACATCTTTAAATAACAACAATTTGATTTGATGATCAGACAGCAACAAAACATATTAAGTGGCCAAGACAAAAGAATGTTATTATGATAGGCATTCTAGGGATTAAGGAATGCATTCAGCTTACATAATTTGAGAAATTATTGGCATACGTAAAACCTATTTAAAACAGCATCTATCGTATTCAAAAGCGTTGAGCATCATTGATTCCCAGCCCTCTGAAGATTGAAAAATAAAAATACCTGGGTGTTAATCCATGGATTATCTTTGAAAATGAGAAATATATTTTTGGATTACATGGTGTAATCTTAAAGTAAACAAAATGTTTTAAAGTGTATTGATGTTTTTTGGATGAAAAACATAAGCGAAATTCATGAAAAAAATCCCCCGATTCATTCTACAAACAACTCGCCCTCCTTTGACAATTTCTTCAAAGCTTACACTCAAACTTTACCCATTCTACTCCTTTTCTGAGTGAACTGAAGGAACATTGTTGATAAAAGTATTTTATAATATAAACTCATTTTCAGAAACCCATCTCTAAGAAACCCACTGCTGATGTTCAAACAACAGACTGTGCTGATTGTAAGAAGTTCCTTGGAGACGTACAGGCAAAGATCACATCAAATGAAACTAAAGAGGAAATTAAGAACTACATTGACCAGGCACTTTGTCAGAATATGGGAGCCCTGGAGACACTGGTATGTAAATAACATAAAGGAGCAACAAAGAGTAGAGAAGAAATGGACTTAAGAAGCATGTTACCTATTGATAATCTGTTTATTTAAATTAATCAAATACAATTTTTCATTCAATTATTTTACTGTTATATTAAGATGTATCTATAGTTTGTTATACACAGTGAGATCTATGTTAAGCTCAGAATGTATATTTTGTTCTCTTTGAAATAGAATATTTCAATAGAATATAAACCCAAAAGGAAGTGGTAAAGGTAAGTACAGACATGAAATGTATTAATACATGTGTATCATTGATTCCTATTTTTTCTTCCAGTGTGACCAAGTGATTGAAAAATACTTAGACCAGGTCCTAGAACTATTGGCTAGTGAAGTGGTAAGTTTCCTTAACATCAACATATTTTCGGGTGTTTATGTTAATATGTGAATTAAAAATGTATCAAGAGAAAAGATATCGACATGATTTTTATGGCCGTACCACAAGTGGTGACATATTGTTACAGTTTTCAACTTTTTTTGTGGATGGTGTTTGGCAGTTGTTCAGCGGTTAGTGTTCAGCAGTCGGCATCTGTAACAAATGCCAGGTGGTGACATTTTGCATTGTTGATACCTTATGAAGATTTAGAGTTTCCACAAGATATCAACTCTATATCCCAATGTTATGTGCCTGAAACCTCATTTGTCATATGATAAATATATACCAGAAAGTGTTGAAACTAGAATTGTGAAAGAACTTTATTCTGTACCAGAATTTGAACAAATGATTGCACTTACTAGTATATATCATATGCGCATGTGTAATATAGATACTGTTATGTTTATTTTTGGAATAATTTCAGGACCCTGCTCTTATTTGTAATGCTATTGGATTCTGCCCAGCTGTGACCAAACAAAGCTTGATAAAGGCATTATTGATGAAAACACCACTACATAAATCCCTCAAGGTAATACATTACATTACCATGTTCATGCATTGTAAAGCTTTTAGTTGTTTTTGTGTTATTTGAAGAATACATGATTTATTGGGTAAATGTATGAAGGGAGAAATTGAACATATAAAAATATCTTCTGAAAATTTTGAAGATTCTTTTAAAGGATGCGCAGTTCAACCATGAACTGAATCACCTGAAAGCCATTTTATAAATGTTTGCAGGCAGCCCCTAGTGAGTATTGTTTGCTGTGCCACACAGTCTTTGAGTACCTACAGGTCATGGAAAGATCAAAGGCAACTCAGGTATGGTATAATAAAAAAGTAAAGGGACACGTTTTGTTTACATCTTGAGTACTAGGGTATGGAACAGTTAATCTAAGTTGAGTGCTAAGATTTTCATATTGATTACACTGCCACCCTGGAGTATGAGGCATACCTGAAAATAAAAAAGATGATTTAAAGTATTATACTATACAAGGCGGTCCAACAAATGGGACACTCGTATTTCTAAAATGAATACTGACTTTATCGATGAAAACATTATCATATTATATACCAGTGAGGATGTCCGATATTATATTAAGAGAGGAAGTTATTCGTTTCTTTGATGTTTCAGGAAGAAATTGAACAGTTCATTGAGACATCACTTTGTAGCAAGCTAGGGCAGTATGCCGCAGAGGTAAGGTGCAATAATTTACACTAGACTGCAAAATAGCCAAAGATATATGGAATATGGTCTCATCTAACTCAATTAAGACAGTTTGCAAACTAGTACAGTTTTATGTTATAAAGTATACAAGTAACATTTTTCTATGCTTTTGATGGATAATGCATGATTAAAATAAAACACAATTGAAATGATAAATCAGTTATGGTTTAATGTGTTTATTTAACTAAATGTATTTTTATCAATTTTTTGAATTCAAAAAATGCATGTTAAAACCATCCTTTATTGTTAAATCCAAGATATTGTGAAAATAATATATTAATGTATATGTGTTGACATTCCAGTGCAACCAGACAGTTGAGCAGTATGCCCCATTGTTGTTTGAACTGATCAGCAGTGAATTGGTAAGTCTGTAACAATTTACACTATTTTTAGTGTTACCATGGGCAAAGCACCTGGTACGCTGGGTACGCACAGGCGCACTAGATTATTGCAAATTCGCTCCAAATACTACCAAATTTCAAAATTTTCCTGAGGGAGAACTCCAGACCCACTTGAATGCTCGATTTTTGATTCACTCAACTCTTGTTCCCATTGTGGTGGCGTACTTCTTAGAAAAATAGCGCTACGCCCATGTTTACATAAGGGCTAAATGTGAGACACTTAATAACTGAAAATGCAGAAATTATGGGTGTTACCTCGAAGGTAGTGTTGAATTTTATTGAAATCCTATGTCGACATATTATAAAAACATTTGCTTAACATGTAGATTTGGCAGATGTCTTCTAAGGGTCAGTTCAAAGTGACACTCAAGATGCTAATCAATATTTCATATTTTAGTAAAAAAAACAAATATGTTACATGTATATGTTAATATGTGTCTTAATCATATATAGTGAATGTCAAGTAAACGAATTAAGATTTGAGGTCAAGAACAATGTACAATTTATATGTTTGTTTATAGGATCCTAATGAAATCTGCAAGATGATTGGGTTCTGTCAAACATCCAAGATGACCGTACCATTGATGCTCGGAGGGGAAGTGAAACCAGTTTCCATTACCCGTATGACGCAAAAGCCCAAACAAGTGAAGGTGAAATCCTCTACAACCTGCGTGATGTGTGAATTTGTCTTGAGAGAAGTTGACAGCCTTCTCAAGAAGAATGCCTCAGAGGTAAGTAATTGAGAATTTCTCATTTGTTTATCGTTTATTTTGAGTGTTGTCAAGTTTTGTTTTGTTATTTTTGCATGTCTTTTTCTTCTTGTATTCTAACAAACAACCTTCAAACTGATGAAGAGGTCTTTGTTTTGTATCAGAAGCATACACTACACTATCATGTACATAATCCAGAAGTAAAACACTCATGACCACACACACATTAGCACACCATACATACAGACAAAAAATACTATTGCTTTTTAATATATTGATATATATGATATGTCTTGTTTCATCGGTCATAGTGAAGCATTCTTCAATTTTTCTCCCTTATCTTAACTTCATTGTTTTAACTCTATTATATTTTATTATCAAGCTAGTAGTAGCCTATAGAAAAGTATTTTGTTCTTTTAATATTTTAATATATTGCATGTCTATAGAATTAACATGTGGAATTAACATTTGCATGATTTACCCTTGCATGACTAACACAACTTGTTTTAGGCTGAGGTTACTAATGTACTTGAAAAGGTTTGTGATGTACTTCCATCCACTGTAAAAGATGCTTGTGTGTCTTTCGTCATTGAATATGGCAAGGACATAATTAGTCTAATAACAAATGGATTAGACCCTCAATCGGTCTGTACATCAATTAAACTATGTACATCAACTGTGAAAACCAAGTTCAGGTCTGATGTTCAATCTGGGGCATCAGTCGAGTGTGTTATCTGTGAATTTATTGTCGCAGAGCTTGGTGCAGTTCTTACAAAGAATGCCACTGAGGTGAGACACTCCAAGTATTTACTTCTATTACAAATAGGATAGTCATTCCCACAAAGTTCTACCACATATTGGATTCAATGTAAAAAATAAGATTAACGTTTCACTCGTTTTGAGAAACTTTAATTTGAGTGTTTTGAAATTAAAAAATTGTTAGTTGCAACCTATTTTATGACATCATGAATTAAGCCAACATATCCAAGTTTCTGTTCTGCAAAGATGGCAAGGTTTATTAATTGGTTATTTTAGTTATATGACCTGATGGTCTTGATAAATCAGATCAGTTTAATTCTGGTTTTACATTTATTAGGATGAAATAATACAAGCTGTAGAAAAGATTTGTGACATTCTTCCATCAACAATTGAATCAACATGCAAGTCTGTTGTCATTGAATTTGGACCACAACTCATTGACTATCTGATCCGGGGGTTTGACCCAGCTAAGGCATGCACCCAAATAGGTGTTTGTGATGGCCTGGATAGCTTGAACAAAGAGCTTGTCATGCACAAGTCTGAAACTGTTGACCAGTCTGTGGAATGTGTGCTTTGTGAATTTGTGCTGAAAGAAGTTGATAGCTTACTCAAAGGAAATAGAACAGAGGTATTAAGAATTATTGATATAAGTACAGGGTGACCCAAAAAGACTGGGTATTCTCAAATAACTTATCTTATTTTTATCTGTCACTGTCAGTATGAATTGATTCACCAGAGTGCTACTTCATTTTTGGGTGCTACTCCAAGGATATTGTGGCTGTGTATCTTGCAGTCTTATTTTAGCAGAATGGTGTCTCATCACACTCACCAAATCAAATACAAACAATTCAATGGCTAACAGCATTCATCTAGAATATGGCCATTTAGCTATTGCCTCCTAAGTATATGGGGATACCCTTCAGCCACTCTTATACTTTTGGATAAAGTCAAAAAGCGATAACCTCCAGAATAATAAGTGCATCAAAGAGATTCAAAACAACTTTCCCAAATACCTTTTTAGTATTCAATCCAAGAATCAACTTTTGAAGCATGTCTTATACTGTATTGCATTTCTAATCACTTAAAGTAGTAGCCTCTGTCATGGATTGTACAAAAGTTATTCGGGAAACTTGGGACCCACTCAGTCAATATTACATGTCCATTGGTCCACATGTCCCATGTCCCTTGGTCTTCTGGTCTTGGATTGTGATATTGATTCTTGAATGGTGGGGGAAGGGAGGTATTAGACATTGTTTCTTTTCACGTTAGATCATGGTTTTGGGCTATATGGGGTTTGTTTTTCGTGGCTGGTATGCACTTAGAGTTTGCTTTTTCTTGCTAAGTTCCATTACAACTTTTGGTCCTTTCCCTTTGGCACAAGTGCTTATATATTTACATATACATTACAAAAATAATTGTTTTGCTCAAAATTTTTAAAAATTTCATTCATAACTCAACTTTACTTCAGGTTGATATGGTCGCCTCATGAACCAGAGTCCTGTCTCATTCAAAAAATGCTGAAAATCTAATGTCTCAGAGAATGGTCAAATACATTACAATATATACTCTTTTGATTTCTGAAATGGATTTTTTGTTGATTTTCACATTTCTTGAAAGCTAAGGGATCTGCTGAAAGTGGTTTGATTATGAATTTTAATTTCTCCACTTGTTTCAGATGCATGCACAAACTTTATTTGATAAGTTTGATTGGTTGATAATTACCCTGATGAATAGTGAGCATTACTAGTTGTTATCTAAATTTAAAATTCCGCAACATTTTCTTAGATTTGTTAAGCATGGCTATGGGAATGACATCTGCTCGCTGTTATGAATTTTAGACAATACATTCATTTGTCTTGACAGTGAGCTTAAAATTGTACCTTGCTTAGATTTATTGTACAGGTTGACATGCATCTGAATAGGCGCTATATTTGAAATGAATAAGTAGTCAATAGAACAACTTTGCATCTTATGTAATATTGACTGCACTTTTTGGGTTGCTCTGTATATGAAGAAGTGCCTGTATTCTCTAGATAAGATATTTTAGAAGCTTTCCTGTAAATTGTTTCTTAAGAAATGCGTTTACTTAGATATCTGGATAACCAGCAATTGCTTTTCAAAATATAAAAATGTTAATTTCTTTATTCCTTCAGATCAAATCTTAACAGAAAAATCTGTTCTTTTTAAGGACGAAATTATCCAAGCAGTTGAAACTGTGTGTGATATCTTGCCTTCAAGTATAAGGGACCAATGCAAGTCTTTTATCATTCAGTATGGACCTCAGATAGTTCAAGATCTTGCTCAAGGCTTAGACCCTGCTATTATATGTACAACAATAAGACTATGTAGTGGACAATCAAAGCTTCAAGTTAGAGTATCAGCATCCATTGAATGTGTTCTCTGTGAATTTGCCTTAAAGGAAATAGACAGTCTTATATCTACAAATAAAACAGAAGCTGAAATCATTCAAGCTGTAGAAAATGTATGTGACATTTTACCAGGTTCAATCAGAGACCAGTGCAAGTCATTTATCATTCAATATGGACCTCAGATAATTGATGCACTTGCCCAGGGATTAGATCCTTCCCAAGTGTGCACAAAGCTTGGAATTTGCAGCGGTGAACAGAAACTAGAATTGAAAGGATCACAATCCATTGAATGTGTTCTCTGTGAATTTGCCCTAAATGAAATAGACAGTCTCATATCTACAAATAAAACAGAAGCTGAAATCATTCAAGCTGTAGAAAATGTATGTGACATTTTACCAGGTTCAATCAGAGACCAGTGCAAGTCATTTATCATTCAATATGGACCTCAGATAATTGATGCACTTGCCCAGGGATTAGATCCTTCCCAAGTGTGCACAAAGCTTGGAATTTGTAGTGGCGAACAGAAACTAGAATTGAAAGCATCACAATCCATTGAATGTGTTCTATGTGAATTTGCCCTAAATGAAATAGACAGTCTCATATCTACAAATAAAACAGAAGCTGAAATCATTCAAGCTGTAGAAAATGTATGTGACATTTTACCAGGTTCAATCAGAGACCAGTGCAAGTCATTTATCATTCAATATGGACCTCAGATAATTGATGCTCTCATCCAGGGATTAGATCCTTCCCAAGTATGCACAAAGCTTGGAATTTGCAGTAGCGAACAGAAACTAGAAATGAAAGTATCAGCATCTATTGAATGTGTTCTATGTGAATTTGCCCTAAAGGAAATAGACAGTCTCATATCTACAAATAAAACAGAAGCTGAAATCATTCAAGCTGTAGAAAATGTATGTGACATTTTACCAGATTCAATCAGAGACCAGTGCAAGTCATTTATCATTCAATATGGACCTCAGATAATTGATGCTCTCATCCAGGGATTAGATCCTTCCCAAGTATGCACAAAGCTTGGAATTTGCAGCGGTGAACAGAAACTAGAATTGAAAGGATCAGCATCTATTGAATGTGTTCTCTGTGAATTTGCCCTAAATGAAATAGACAGTCTCATATCTACAAATAAAACAGAAGCTGAAATCATTCAAGCTGTAGAAAATGTATGTGACATTTTACCAGGTTCAATCAGAGACCGGTGCAAGTCATTTATCATTCAATATGGACCTCAGATAATTGATGCACTTGCCCAGGGATTAGATCCTCCCCAAGTATGCACAAAGCTTGGAATTTGTAGTGGCGAACAGAAACTAGAATTGAAAGCATCACAATCCATTGAATGTGTTCTTTGTGAATTTGCCTTAAATGAAATAGACAGTCTCATATCTACAAATAAAACAGAAGCTGAAATCATTCAAGCTGTAGAAAATGTATGTGACATTTTACCAGGTTCAATCAGAGACCAGTGCAAGTCATTTATCATTCAATATGGACCTCAGATAATTGATGCTCTCATCCAGGGATTAGATCCTTCCCAAGTATGCACAAAGCTTGGAATTTGCAGTGGTGAACAGAAACTAGAATTGAAAGAATCACAATCCATTGAATGTGTTCTCTGTGAATTTGCCCTAAATGAAATAGACAGTCTCATATCTACAAATAAAACAGAAGCTGAAATCATTCAAGCTGTAGAAAATGTATGTGACATTTTACCAGGTTCAATAAGAGACCAGTGCAAGTCATTTATCATTCAATATGGACCTCAAATAATTGATGCTCTTGTCCAGGGATTAGATCCTTCTCAAGTATGCACAAAGCTTGGAATTTGCAGTGGCGAACATAAACTAGAATTGAAAGGATCAGCATCTATTGAATGTGTTCTCTGTGAATTTGCCCTAAATGAAATAGACAGTCTCATATCTACAAATAAAACAGAAGCTGAAATCATTCAAGCTGTAGAAAATGTATGTGACATTTTACCAGGTTCAATCAGAGACCAATGCAAGTCATTTATCATTCAATATGGACCTCAAATAATTGATGCTCTCATCCAGGGATTAGATCCTTCCCAAGTGTGCACAAAGCTTGGAATTTGCAGTGGTGAACAGAAACTAGAATTGAAAGCATCACAATCCATTGAATGTGTTCTCTGTGAATTAGCCCTAAATGAAATAGACAGTCTCATATCTACAGATAAAACAGAAGCTGAAATCATTCAAGCTGTAGAAAATGTGTGTGACATTTTACCAGGTTCAATCAGAGACCAATGCAAGTCATTTATCATTCAATATGGACCTCAGATAATTGATGCTCTCATCCAGGGATTAGATCCTTCCCAAGTATGCACAAAGCTTGGAATTTGCAGTGGCAAACAGAAACTAGAATTGAAAGCATCACAATCCATTGAATGTGTTCTCTGTGAATTTGCCTTAAAGGAAATAGACAGTCTTATATCTACAAATAAAACAGAAGCTGAAATTATTGAAGCTGTAGAAAATGTATGTGACATTTTACCAGGTTCAATCAGAGACCAGTGCAAGTCATTTATCATTCAATATGGACCTCAGATAATTGATGCACTTGCCCAGGGATTAGATCCTTCCCAAGTGTGCACAAAGCTTGGAATTTGCAGTGGCGAACAGAAACTAGAATTGAAAGCATCACAATCTATTGAATGTGTTCTATGTGAATTTGCCTTAAAGGAAATAGACAGTCTCATATCTACAAATAAAACAGAAGCTGAAATCATTCAAGCTGTAGAAAATGTATGTGACATTTTACCAGGTTCAATCAGAGACCAGTGCAAGTCATTTATCATTCAATATGGACCTCAAATAATTGATGCTCTCATCCAGGGATTAGATCCTTCCCAAGTATGCACAAAGCTTGGAATTTGCAGTGGCGAACAGAAACTAGAATTGAAAGCATCACAATCTATTGAATGTGTTCTATGTGAATTTGCCCTAAAGGAAATAGACAGTCTCATATCTACAAATAAAACAGAAGCTGAAATCATTCAAGCTGTAGAAAATGTATGTGACATTTTACCAGGTTCAATCAGAGACCAGTGCAAGTCATTTATCATTCAATATGGACCTCAGATAATTGATGCACTTGCCCAGGGATTAGATCCTTCCCAAGTGTGCACAAAGCTTGGAATTTGCAGTGGCAAACAGAAACTAGAAATGAAAGTATCAGCATCTATCGAATGTGTTCTTTGTGAATTTGCCTTAAAGGAAATAGACAGTCTCATATCTACGAATAAAACAGAAGCTGAAATAATCCAAGCTGTAGAAAATGTATGTGACATTTTACCAGGTTCAATCAGAGACCAGTGCAAGTCATTTATCATTCAATATGGACCTCAAATAATTGATGCTCTCATCCAGGGATTAGATCCTTCCCAAGTATGCACAAAGCTTGGAATTTGCAGTGGCGAACAGAAACTAGAATTGAAAGCATCACAATCCATTGAATGTGTTCTCTGTGAATTTGCCTTAAAGGAAATAGACAGTCTCATATCTACAAACAAAACAGAAGCTGAAATCATTCAAGCTGTAGAAAATGTATGTGACATTTTACCAGGTTCAATCAGAGACCAGTGCAAGTCATTTATCATTCAATATGGACCTCAAATAATTGATGCTCTCACCCAGGGATTAGATCCTTCCCAAGTATGCACGAAGCTTGGAATTTGCAGCAGTGAACAGAAACTAGAATTGAAAGGATCAGCATCTATTGAATGTGTTCTCTGTGAATTTGCCCTGAAGGAAATAGACAGTCTCATATCTACAAATAAAACAGAAGCTGAAATCATTCAAGCTGTAGAAAATGTTTGTGACATTTTACCAGGTTCAATCAGAGACCAGTGCAAGTCATTTATCATTCAATATGGACCTCAGATAATTGATGCACTTGCCCAGGGATTAGATCCTTCCCAAGTGTGCACAAAGCTTGGAATTTGCAGTGGCAAACAGAAACTAGAAATGAAAGTATCAGCATCTATCGAATGTGTTCTATGTGAATTTGCCCTAAAGGAAATAGACAGTCTCATATCTACAAATAAAACAGAAGCTGAAATCATTCAAGCTGTAGAAAATGTATGTGACATTTTACCAGGTTCAATCAGAGACCAGTGCAAGTCATTTATCATTCAATATGGACCTCAGATAATTGATGCTCTCATCCAGGGATTAGATCCTTCCCAAGTATGCACAAAGCTTGGAATTTGCAGTGGCGAACAGAAACTAGAAATGAAAGTATCAGCATCTATCGAATGTGTTCTATGTGAATTTGCCCTAAAGGAAATAGACAGTCTCATATCTACAAACAAAACAGAAGCTGAAATCATTCAAGCTGTTGAAAATGTATGTGACATTTTACCAGGTTCAATCAGAGAACAGTGCAAGTCATTTATCATTCAATATGGACCTCAAATAATTGATGCTCTCGTCCATGGATTAGATCCTTCGCAAGTGTGCACAAAGCTTGGAATTTGCAGTGACAAACCGGTGCAACTCTCTACAAGTTTAGTATCTATTGGCTGTAAACTTTGTGAAGTAACTCTGAAGCAGATAGATGATGAAATTCTTAAATCAAATTCCTCAGTAGATTTAATCATTGCACGTATAATACAAGCATGTGATGTATTACCATATAGAGATACTGTCCTTGTATGTAAAGCCTTTGTTGCTGCAATAGGACCTGCATATATAAAGGAAATGCAAGCTGGAAAATTCAAGCCAATTGAACTATGCTCTAAACTTGGTTTCTGTTCAAATGATACCTCTTTGAGATCCTCAGAAGCTAAGTTAGAATTAAAGAATCCAGAATTGAGGACACAAGTTGGTAGATTGTTTGAAGGCACAACTAAACAAGCAAAGAAGAACTACCTGATGTGTAACCTGCTCATATCTGAGATGGAAACTATGATTCAACCAGGCTCAACTGTTGTAAGTATCAAAAAATTAAACAGTTCATATCTGCTGGGAATTTGTATGTTTATTTAGCTGGATCCTTATCGGTGTTCTTGAATAATAAAGATTTATAGATGACATTTTGGAATGCATAGAACACAAAAATATTTGCTTCTTGGATACAAATATATATCAAATGGATTATGGTAACGTACCCAGTCTAGTGAATCATGAATCTCATCAAAATCATTGTGAATTGATTGTTTTGGTTGATCTCTTCCAGGAACAGTACATAATCTCAGCAGGAGAAATCTGTGGAAAAATACCCAACACCCTAAAACCATTTTGTCAGACTTTCTTCGCAGCATTTTCAACAGAGATATCAGAGAACATTCACGGTGCTAACCCCCAAGGAATATGTGCAATTATTTACAATAGGAAAAATAAGATGAGAACACCTATTGAAGTCAAGGATGTTCAAGTAGATGCAACTGTCGAGTGTATCATTTGTGAATTTGTCATGATGGAAATGGACAAATTGATCACTAAGAACTCGTCAGAGGTATTATGGCAGAGATGTCAAATATACAACTAGAACTGCACACACTGGTTTACAAATATAGTTTATATGGGTAAAGGGCTTATTAGAACTACATCCTCGAAACCTTCAGGCTGCATAGTTCATACTGTACCTATGCCCTAGGATCAGTATAAATTCCTGAATTGTAGCCTTTTGATTTAAAGGATGAATTCATGCACATGTTAGTCATTCTGATATGTTTGTTTTGTACATGACATACACCTGCCTAAAGACTGTATATTATGACAGTCTTTCTCTTCTCATTTCTACCCTTTTAACCCCAACCAACCAACCGACCAACCCACCCACCCACCAACTTACCAACCAACCAACCAATGGAATTATCTATTGCAGAACAAGGATATACTGTATTTAGTTATTATTTTGAACATGAAACACATATACACACAATAGACAATACACATATTAAGATACAAATTAAAATTACACTGAATTATATTATAAATGTACATGACACAACCGTTGCATGTTCCACTTATTTGCATGTCTCACTAATTTGGATGTTCCACTAGTTTGCATATTTCACTATTTTGCATGTTCCTCTAATTTGCATATCCTACTAATTTGCATGTCTCACTATTTTGCATGTTCCACTAATTTGCATATCCCTCTTAGTTGCATGTCCCATTAAATTGCATTAACAGGTAGAGCATGTTACCTGAATATTACCTCAGTTTGTTTCTATTAATTAATAAGTACATCCATATGTATAGCCTCTCCACCTGTCTATAGTATCTTTGTATTTTAAGTTTTAGAGTTTAGAAAATATATGATTACAAAGGGCCATATTTCATTATATTTCACGGCCTTATGATTGCCTTTTAAACGTTATATTTTCACTGGGTAAAACACAAATTAAAGATCCATATTAATACATACATGTACATGTAATGTAGATGACAACATCAATGAATCATTATTATCAATTCCCATTTTGAGTTGAGCAATTCATAGAACTTTCCATCATATATTTCATAAAGTTACCTGAAAATATATATTTTGCAGCAAGAGATCGTTGCTGCTCTTGACAAAGTTTGCCGTATCTTACCCAGCACCATCAGTGATGAATGCAAGGACTTTGTCGATCAATATGGACCTGCTGTAATCGATCTACTGGCCCAGGAGCTGGACCCTTCAATGGTGTGTTCTACAATAGGATTATGCTCTTCGTCAAAGAAACTTCAGAGTAAGTGCAGTACTTGTTATGTCATCACCTGAAGTGGTGATATATTGTTAGTCTCCAACTTTTTTGGGACTGGTTTCGGTGGTTGGTTTTTGGCATCTGTACTGGTATTCAGTGTTCAGTGTCTCTAACAAAATGGCAGGTTGGACATTTTGCATTTTATAGGGAAGAACTGCTCTACCTTAGTGACTAATATGTCATGTTATTATATACCCAATATGTAACACTAATCCTGATTGGTCAATACCTAGTCACGTGTTCCGAAATAGATTTACTATTTCCCTCGGAAAGTTATATTCCCTCAAATGTGACGTCAGCGGGAATATACATTTGAACTATTGCCCGCTGACGTCACAATTGCAACTTCTATTACCCTTGGAAACGTCTGCGCATCATCACTGCGCAGACGAAAAACAGAAAAATGGAGGATGAGCACAAACACAAATCAACTCCGTTCACCATGACAGACGTGCGTGAACGATACAGTATAAGCAACGTGTATAAAGTTCCCTAAGCTCAATACGCCTGTGTAATTTCAAGTGTTATGATAATCTATTCCGCGTGTTAAACGCGATTGAATTTGTCAAGTGAGAGTCTCAGAGGCAAAAATTTCTGTTGAGCATCTGATGACGTCACAGCTTATAATGCTAACAATGGACCCGGGGAGGGGGCTTTCTAAGCCTGTTTGGCCTTCGCAGAGGAAACGGGACAAGAGTCAGTATAGGGTATATAATAAAACAAATAGTGACTGCCTAATTTCGAGCAATAGTGTAAAATGATTTCCCCTTGGGAATATCCTCTACAATGTACTATTCCCTCAGCCTGTGGCTTCGGGAATAGTACATTGTAGAGGATATTCCCTCGGGGAAATAATTTACACTATTGCCCTCAATGGCAGTCACTATTTGTATAATATGACATCTAAAGAGTCAATAAAAGATATAATAATATATATATATAATATGGTTAGGAGTGCATTAGACTGCATTGCATATAAACTCTTTTCTTCAAGTATCTGCATGTTTGACTACCTGATGGACTTGAGATATTGTGTGTAATTTGGGTCATTTAAAACAAGTCTATCTACACACAGCCATGTGCATATTCATATCCAATTAATGTTTATATAAATTACATTTTTACTTGCAAAATAGTGTGTTTTTACATCTGTATATCTTTTCATGTTTCTACATGTACTTACACAGCCACTTAATGTTTTTCTTCCATGTTTCAGTGCCTTCAGTAAAGTCCAGTGAACTGTGTGGTATTTGTGAGACTGTTGTACAGTATGTTGACAGCCTGTTGGAAGAGAATGCCACTGTAACGGAGATTGAAGCTGTGCTTGAAAAAGTCTGTAACTTCCTACCTGGATCACTGAAGTCTGAGGTACATATAACTATTCAATAATGTGACATAAATTGGAAGAAAGATTAGAATGACTTTTTAGATCTTTTTACGCTTATTGGGTGACCCAGAAGTATCGTCAAAGAATGTTACCAATTCAATATTACTTGACTTATCTTCTTGAAACCTGGTACAGATGTTTACCAAATAGAATCAAAGTGAATAACTTAAAAGTAAAGCTTCTACTATTTGATTGGTTGTTTTACTAATAGTACGTAATGGAAAAAATGCTTCTTGGTGAGCATCTGTCAATGTGGTTTTAAAGCAGTAAAATAACACATTTATTTAAGCAAGCCATTTTTCTCAGTGTGGCCACTCTCAACGATGATTGACCATACATGAGTGATAAAACTTCAATAAAAATCATGTACTACTTTTTAATCATTTGGCAAATTTTTTGTACTACTTTTCTCTTTTTTAATAATAGATATTCTGATAAACATTGGTAATATAATGAATATATGAACAGGTTCATAAACCACAAATTATTGAATTAATATTGCTTGGAGCTTATATGTTTGTCCAAATGTCAAATTATTACATGTTTCATGATATGAATCTTCTAATTAAATGATTACTGTGCACATGCTTCGTTTGCATTTCAGTGGATTCCATGGGTTAAGCTAAACACTGAATATATTTATACACTATCTTGAAATATTTTCTTGTAGTGTGACGATCTTGTTAAACAGTATGGTCCATTGATCATTAGTCTTCTCCAACAAGAGATTGATCCACCAAAAATATGCGGGGTGAGTGGCACCAATTAGCATGGAAGCGACCTGTTTTGCACCATTAGCATGGCAGCCATTTTGTTTTGCATCATGTGAATTACTAGACAGCTGTTTTGTGTTTGCATGTTTTGTAGTGTTGCCTTTTAGGTCTTATATTAGGTTATAGCTTATATAAACAGTATGGAAGTCTTTCAAAATTCATTTTGAGTCTTGAAGTAACTGAAAAGTAGAGTAGCCACAAAATGTAATTTTTAAAGGTTTTCCACAATGTTTATAATTTTTGCTTATTAGGTTTCTACCATTCTGGGTGTAGTATAATACAATAATGCAGCAATGTTTAAAATTATAATGCAGCTCTCATGTAACAGTTTTTTTTGTATTAAAATACAGCTGTATTAGACATAATCCATTAGTGAAGCTTTTAGGTTTAAGCAGCTGTTATATCAAAATCGTTGGCTTCATCTGCCATTTCAGTGCGATGATTTTATTAGTACCTATGGGCCATATGTTCTTGAGCTCATATCACTTGAAGTTGATCCTGCAAAAATATGTAGTGTAGGTGAACTTTAACTCTCTGAATTAACCAATAACTATGGATCATTTCAAAACTAAACTTTGAAATGAAGTGTTTGAATCTGAAGACAGGGCTCCACAACATTTTCCTTTCTTTTAATTCTGCTTTTCATTTTGGAGCTTTGTTGATGACTGAACATGCTTTGATAAGATTGTACCTTATTTTCAAAACACTTCAAAGTTTTGGTTTTGAATTGTTCCTAAGGAACCATTACATCTTTTGGGAGACTGAGCTTTTAAACATTTGACCAGTTCACCCAATTTTCTGAGTACAAAATCATCAGATGTTTGATTTATTTAGTCTCAAAAATCAAAGTCCAATATCTTAAGGTGATTTCAAAATTCATTTTTGGAATATTTTTCTAGAAGCTACCCAATAAAGTAATGGTCTCCCCTTTATACCCTTTGTTCGGATCCTTCTCCATTTTCTATATAATATATACAAGAAAATCCAGAAAATTTTGTTTTTAATCTCTAGATTTCTTGAATAAAGAGAAATACTTGTCCTTTCTGATGCAAATGTAGTTTTTTTGACAAATACATGTATGTGAAATTCCTGATTTCTCTTGAAAATGAAAAATGGTCAATAATACCAAACGAACAGAAGGTTAAAAGGACAAATCAAGATTCAAGAAATTTCTGGATACTATGTACCTTCATACCTAACACTAACCTAGTTAAGAGAAGCTTAGTTAAAAACACAGCTAGCTTTTTCATTTTCATTACTGGCTTGATTTGGATGTTGCTTTTTGAAAATCTAACACAAGTCTATGGGTAGTTTTGGTATGATTACAGTGTGACGAGTTTATAGATAGCTACACTGTTGCAATTATTTTGCTCCTCAACTCAATGGACCCTGGCGAGATATGTATGGTAGGTAGATGTATGATGTAGATGATCTCGCTAGGCTTTACCACAACCCTTTGACTAGCCATAATTGTTACTACAGATAGACCTTGCAAATTATACACAAAAATGGGTGAAATGGAACTAAGTATCATCTACTTCTACTGTCCTGAAAGTATTTAAACCATAACCAGTAAATATTTCCATAGCCAGGATCGCCCAATGCTTACCTCATTACCCATCTTGAAATCAGTGAGTTCCTCCTCATTGATTGCTTTTGGCAGGACTTGTCCCTTCTTGTTATTACTGTATGCATTATACTGCCTATTAGTTCTATTACAATAATATTCATAAAATCTATAGTGGTCATTATATATAAATGTTTCGTAGTTCAGCTGTTATGATTGATGTACTGGACATTTATTTGTTTTTCAAACAAAATAAATGTGTATAGATAATAGTAAATTTTAATTAATAATTACAATATCGTATTGCTGTCTTATTGTATTGCCTATGTAAGAATTATTTTGTGTTTGGTTGAATTTTTTTTATCTAAATGAACTGTTGTTTTAGAATTTTGGACTCAATTGAAACTTATCCATACGGATACTAACATTAACCACTTTAAATAATCAATTCTATTTAGAAAACCAGAGTTGTAAAATAAGTGTAATTTTATTGTAAAGCACAACTACCATTATTAGAGTAATTCTTGTAATAGTAATTTATGTTCTCATTTCAGGAACTTGGTTTGTGCAACAACACTGTCTCACAGAAATTGCAGAAAGTTAACCAACCACTGTTAGGGGTCGACGAGTGCACATATGGGCCAGTGTTCTGGTGCAAGGATATGAATACAGCTAAACAATGCAATGTAAGTGAATTCATAAATAGTTGTTTAGTAGCTTATTTTTACTCAGCTGATAACATTGACTTTGATTCTTGAGAAAGTCAGTCAAGATTTAGAAAGTAAGTTTTGAAATGAGTCGCCATTCTTTTATGTGCCATTGCTCGGCAGAAAAGAAGGTCTTTTGAGGGGGCAATAAATGAGATATGGCGTATGCTTGTAAATGGGTGTAACACATACTTGACTTGTCAGTAAAGAGGGGCATTGGTTTCAGACCAGTTGTTAAGTCATATTTTCTAAAAGCTTATGTTACACCCTGTATGACTATGAGTTCATTGTATATTTTCTTATTTCCAGGCTGTGGCACATTGTAGCAGACACGTGTGGAACAATTAGGAGACGTTGCAGTAAAACCATTCCTCTAATGACACTGACAAAGATTAAATAAACACTGGAATAATTAGGAGTAAAAATTTGAACTTAATTCATGGACTTATTTATGAAATCTGAAAACGTTGTGAAGTGTACGTATTGACTGCTGAACCAAAGAGGAGTTTATTTCTCAATATTAGAATCACAGTATATCAGAATGAGCATTCTTATACTTCAATAGCCTCAATGAATTTAAACTTGGTTTAATGTGTAAATACTATGTGATATTAGACTTGAGATGGAATTAAGAAACTATGTGTACTATTTAACCTCATAATGTGCATAGATGTGCTGTAATGTAAATGCTTTCTTCTTTTTGCCAAATTCAATATTATCATTATATATTTATTTTCTAAATGTAATGATTAATATTCATCAATTACTAGAGAGGCAAAGAGTGTGTCATCTACCTTATAGAAATGATGATTCACACACACCGTACATTCAATATTTTGTAAATATTTTCTGTTGTAATGTACTCGATCTGTTGATGTATTTTATTTCTCGATTTTGTGATATAAACTGTTACTACATGTATTTCCAAAATTTGAATAATTAATGTGCTTATAATGCATTATCCACGTTGTCATGTTTGATGTTACCATGGTGATTCTTGCATGCTATAACCTATTTGACTCTTTATACTACATGTATTTTATATAAGAAGAATTTCTGTCAGCTTGTAAGCCACGTAAAATTGCTCAAGTTAAATTCAGTATAAGACTTCTTCTAGAACCTGATCATCGTTAATTTTTCTGTAAAATATTGCATGTTTCAGAGTATGTATGCGATACTATTAATTGGGTTTTTCATCAAACTGCACATCCTTTTTGTTATCAATAAAAACAAAGAAAAATGATTTCAGACTGTTGTTGTTACTGATACTGCTGTATAAAAGAGAATAGAATAAGGGATTATTGTATGTCATTATTAAAGATAATATTCTCCCAGGTAGGGTGGTGTATTAAACCATGGTCTCTGCCCTTTGTTCCAATCTGGTATTTATTTGAACAGAACATTAGTTCATTCCTGCTTTATGTTGATTGAAGCCACAGCTATTGGAATGGTTGTAGAATAGTTGTTGTGAAAAGAAAATTCAACTCCCACCCTGTACCAAGTCTTTTTTTCTAAGTACATAGAGAGTGGGAGCGGTTGATTTACTTATAATGACTATTCTTTTATCCATACCAGTAGCTGTACATTTTATCAACATAAAACAGGGTTGGACTAACAATTCTGCTGGTCTGGTCTGATGCATGTAAACGAAGCCTACATACACCACAGTCATTTCTATTGTAAGACCGTGGTTTAGAATATATAGATCCTCCATTACTTTACTTCAGTTTTTAGTAGTTTTGATTGAATAATCTCTTGCCTAAAACCACTTGTCATATTACTGAGTCATTCAAAATTGAATACTAGTAAAGCCGAACTCCTAGGAAGTTATCCATTTCAATTATATCATCCAGAAACCATATTGCCCCTCAGTATTAAGAAATATCAATACTCCCTCTTGTACTGTAAAATCTGTTAAGTGGAACACCTTTGAAAGTAGAACACCTCTCAAGTGAAAGAGTTTTTTTTTTGTGGTAGCAAAGGTGTTCCTCTTATACAGGTTTTACTGTACTGCATTTTATGACATGCCTTTCAGAATTGATTTCACATACTTGTATAGATGGCACCACAACTGTTAAATATTTATAATGGGTGTATTGGCAATTTACATGCAAATTCATGGAAAATATTTCCCCATTGGTAATTCCTGAAGTCTTATATAAGAGCTTGTTTCAATGGGATAACATTCTGTAATGTGTATGGATCCTGGTTCACATGTGTTTTTATAGCCTTGCCCAAGTCGGTCTCTTTTATTTATTTTGATTTCTATTATGGTAATAATTCAAGATCAGATAATTAAAAAATTAGTTATAAAAAAACAAAGCTATCAAATTGACTTAAGTGAACAATAAATTTCAGTCAATGGAGACAATCTCAAAAACCTGTTGGATTTGCAACACTTTTTTTAAAACATGCTCCTAATTTATGCTTTAAGGAGGCTGTTTACATCGATAAAGTGTTCATATTTTTATATTATTTAAATGACCAGTACAAAATTATGCTTTAAAGCATGTACCATGTTTATAGTGAAATAAAAAAGGAATAGAAGACTGAAAGACAGTTTTTTTTAATTTTTCCATACTGGAAAGTCTAATTCATGTAATTGATTTTGATTTGAAAAAGATAAAAATCATGCATCCCTCAGACTTCATTTTTTTTATTATTGCTCATTGAAAATGTACAATTTTTTCAATTTTTTGTCAAATTTTTTGTCAATTGTTTTTGCCAAATATCTGTGTGTAAATGGACAGTTAGTGAAACATGCAATTCTGAATGCTTTAACAATATAGACAGATTAGATTCACATGTTTCCACAGCTGATTTGTAGTCAACAATCCTGGACAACAGTTTGTAATTTTTTATGGTACAAATATGCATCTGTGTTCTTTTTATATGTATTGCAGCAGTTTCTGCAGCACTAGGAGATTTCAGGCAGCCGCATTAAAAGTTAGTGGAAAATGACAGGTCCCTACTTTGTCAAAAGGTTTTTGCTACTCAGAGCTCTTCAAAAGCTCTCCTGCGGAAGAGACGTTAAAGTGAGATGGCAACTTCCCGAATAAATTCTTCGAGAAGATTATGCCGAAAATATCTGATATTTTTCTATATTGCTGTAGGTTTACTGTCTCTACAGTTATTTCTAGGATACTCCTTTTATAGTTCTAACCAAACAGAACTCCAACGACTCCAGGAATGGAAGCGTTTAGAAGAAAACTCCTACAAAAGTCAGCCAAAAAATTTGGTAAGTTTCACTTTTTTTATTTTTGTAGTTAGGCCATAGGAGACAGGTTACCTGAAAAGGAAGATAGATATCATTATCTCTTATCTAACCAAGGACTGAAACTGAGGCAAGTCTACCCTGGCTGAAATCAGCTCTGAAATAACAATTACTGCATGTCAAGCCGTCATTCAATGCTGATTTTGTAGAAAACAGATCTGTCCATCCTTCTACATGTGAGTTTTTCCCATAAAGATGCTTGATTAAGTAGAAATTCATCAAATTATACCCCTAGAATATCAAAGTTCAACTGTACATCAATCGCGTGAGGAAAAAAAACAAATCCATTCTTCACCTTCTGTTCACAAACCCTTCTTCTTCTTCTTGGAAAAGTTGTCCCTCATTTGACTAACAGCAAATGTGTATGTTTATGCAGCAATATATGTTAGTTTAGAAAATGATTAATTACAATCTTACCTGTACTTCACAGAAACATCCTAAGTATGAAAATATTTCACTAAAAATACATGCTTCCATTTTGTCACATGTTCATAATAATTTACATATTGACCATGTGATGTTGACAGGGAGTGTAAACGCACCTAGCGTACAGGAAATATGTTATGATATTTATTAAGAAATTAGGTATGGTAATCATTATTAATTAAGCATTAAGTATTAAGCCCCCAACCCACTTCACAAAGTTCATGAAGTACCAAGGAAAGACCAAATATTAAATAAATTAGAAAAATTTGATTTCAAAAAAATCAAGTGGGCGATAATAGAGCCTCTGAAACATGGCAAAAGTGACATATTTTGTAATTTTCAATGCATACTCCCGATAATTATCTATCATTGTGTGCTTTCCACACCATATCAAAGTAATATTATCTAAAAATAATGTATGTAATAAGTTAATGAAGGAAAAATTTAATGTTTCAGAGACTCTATTATCGCCCACTTGATTTTTTTGGAAATTCAAATTTTTCTAATTTATTTAATATTTGGTCTTTCCTTGGTACTTCATGAACTTTGTGAAGTGGGTTGGGGGCTTAATACTTAATGCTTAATTAATAATGATTACCATACCTAATTTCTTAATAAATATCATAACATATTTCCTGTACGCTAGGTGCGTTTACACTCCCTGTCAACATCACATGGTCAATATGTAAATTATTATGAACATGTGACAAAATGGAAGCATGTATTTTTAGTGAAATATTTTCATACTTAGGATGTTTCTGTGAAGTACAGGTAAGATTGTAATTAATCATTTTCTAAACTAACATATATTGCTGCATAAACATACACATTTGCTGTTAGTCAAATGAGGGACAACTTTTCCAAGAAGAAGAAGAAGGGTTTGTGAACAGAAGGTGAAGAATGGATTTGTTTTTTTTCCTCACGCGATTGATGTACAGTTGAACTTTGATATTCTAGGGGTATAATTTGATGAATTTCTACTTAATCAAGCATCTTCATGGGAAAAACTCACATGTAGAAGGATGGACAGATCTGTTTTCTACAAAATCAGCATTGAATGACGGCTTGACATGCAGTAATTGTTATTTCAGAGCTGTATTCAGCCAGGGTAGACTTGCCTCAGTTTCAGTCCTTGGTTAGATAAGAGATAATGATATCTATCTTCCTTTTCAGGTAACCTGTCTCCTATGAGTTAGGCACTAGAGTTCAAACCTAATGTCCTAATGTCTGTCTGATATTTCACAGTGGCGTAGCTACGTGTACGCCAAGTACGCCCAGGCGTACTCTCAAATTTTAAGGAAAAATAAAATTTACCTGATTAATTGTGATGAAAAATAAATATTTTACCAAGAGATAGAAATCGATAGGAGATCTATGAAGACTCGTGTTAATAAATAAAAAAGTTCTTGATTATTTCATTTTCTTTGTTTTGAATCAGTTAGCTACTGATAATTAGAGATTGATACTGTTATTGACATGTTCGCAAATGCAAAAACAGAAAGATAGAATTTATTCTATAGAACCACGTACATGTTAAGATCCGAAATGGAGTTGAGACGGTCGTGTAACTGTTCTTTTATTGTTAATCATCTTGTGAGCTAGATAAAAACAAACACAGAAAAAATAATAATATTTCATGGAGAATGACCACAAAAGCTTAAAACAATGAGCCTCATACATACAGTTTTAGGTAGCCTAAAAAATAAAATCACCTTGATAGACGGCTTCGATCGTTGATGGCATGATTATATAGAATCTGTCTATTTTGTTTCCCGAATATTATCTGTTAATACAGTTAATTCAATCCCTTTAAAAAGCTATGTCAAAATGATCAAACAATACATATTTCCTTCATTGAATTAAGAGTGTTTAGTGGGTCCCCTATCTTCTGAACACCCGGGATCTTCCTATTTTATGGAACCATCGTTTTGTTAATTTTGATAAAACCGGGAAATCATACGGGCGTACACTCGCAAAATGGGCTAGCTACGCCTCTGTTTCAAATGTAGTTACATGATAGCACTGCAATGACAGATTTAACCAACCAACGAAGCTCATACTCACATCTGATATTATCCTGCAGAATAACCCAGATGCGAGTAGAAATAATCTTGATTTACGTCATTCAAAATTCAGTCAAAGTAATATCATATTTGAAATCTACATGTAAAATTACATCTAGAAATGTGGTTTTAAAAAGTGTTTATCAACTTTGAAAAATTAATTTTCTTTGAAAATGTGACTTCTAGCTCGGGGAGATTCCCCATAGACCCCATGCTATAAAATCACAAAAAATGAAATATCTTTTCTTTTAGTGGACAGATAATATTTTGCTTTACTGGACATATTTTCATTAGTATAAGTATCAGACACATAAGGGTTATATGAAAATTGAGCTACTTAAATTGATAATATTCAAGTTTAAGGGAACTTTCTTATATACCTGCCATGTTAATTGACCCGAATCAGCCACCTGGTGGTGAAACTGGTAACTACTTACTCGCATTTGGGTAATTGAATGAATTTTAGTAGATCCATGCATTGGCTTTCCACTAGAGTCTAGATCTAAGATTTGTCGTGTAAAATGTCAACTGCCGAACACTGTTACAAATGTCCAATCCTTTGATTGGTCGATGCATGCGACCTGAGAGTATGGTATTACAATTTCAATTTTGGTGTCACCCACAGTTTTAACATAGAAGTTGGAGGGGGTTCTTTTATCTATCATATTTTTGTCATTTTTTTTTCTTTGGAGGCCTGATTCTTAACAAATGGTAGGTAAAATTTAACAGTGTCAAACGTTAATAGAACATAATTTAAACCTGAACATTAAAAGATAGATCTGTGGTTTGGTTTCAACTCATTTTAAAATTGGAAAGAAACTTCCCTGTTGGTCCATGTACCTCCCATGGATATGAAATTTTTTATTGACTTAGTTGTGTTAGGCTCTGTCGAGAATAAGCTGGAGACTGACAGGGCTTGTAAGATTTAATTGACAAAAATTGAAGGAGAAACCGATCCTGACTTCCAAATTAGAATTTCATCTAAAGATAAAGATTTATGTCTACAAAGCTTAATTATGATAATTTGATAAATATGATTTTAAACTCATGCTTTATGACTGGGTTATTAACATACATTTGTTTGGGTTACATTTTTTGGCTCACCCTTGGGCTTGGAGTTGGACTGGTTGTGAAACTCACAACCAAAAACCATTTTGGTCAAGATATATCTGAATCCGAATAACCATAGAGGTAGTAGCTACCCAATAAATTTTTCCCATTTTTTATTATGAAATCTCACAGAAACTATCATGACTTAAAGATGTCAAAATAATTTGTATCGATAGGGTATGATCACCAATGGTGTAAATGGTGTAAGGTGACAGTTTCAAAATCCTTGTAATGGAGAGAGGTTTAGTAATTACTATGTCATTATAGAATGCTGTTGCATAATTGATATGACCAAATTGTAGATTATTAAAAAATGGCTTTGTGTGATCAAAATAGTATTTGACAGAACCCATCTGATGCTCCTGCCCACATAATATAAAAATGAAACAATAATCTAATGCAAATGTTGGGCATATCTTGCACATGTATAAATGTATGATGCTACGATACCTGCACCTGTACTAGATAAATGTGAATATGCAAATGAGAAAACTTAAACTTAGGAATGAAAACATTGAGTCATCTAGATATTTAAACATGGGCAAAATAGTTTTTCTAAAGGTCATACATGTATATAGTTGAATGTAAATGTCCAGATATTATGATGTCTTCTAATGATAGCATTCTGATCTGAGACTCCTCCCATCTTTCTGCCTTCAACTATGAATATGTTCTTGAAAGAAGTTAATAGAAGGCCAGTATTTCTCATGATGATAGAATTGTGAGATTGAAGATGCAACAAAAAGAAGAGGTTGAAAATCAGGACAACATTTCAGAAAAAACATGTGGCTGGGTTGTTTACATTTTCCCTGTCTCAAAGTCAAAATTATTTTGTCATCTCTATGAGTGCTTTTCCTGGAAATAATGCGGTTGAAGCCTTATGGATATAGGGTTCCTATCTGAGGAGTCTCTAATATGGTGTATATCTAGTATAGTTTTATTTTTTAAAAGAAAAATTGAGATAAGCTGATCAGAGATGGAAGATTTATGATTCAGAAATGTCACAATTCATTACACTTGAAAAAGGAGACAATTTTTGAAGCCTTCTCTCAACTTGTTTCTATTCCTTCTACTTTCGTTCATGATGAGCAAAACAATTTTTTGTGGCAGAATGCCTTTCTTTGGATGAGTCAAAATATATTTTCTGCAATTCTTAAGTAGTTGAAGTAGGTAGACTTGTTATCTCATGTTTTGTAGAATAACAAATATATCATGTTTTGACACTTTATTACGTATCAACAAAATATAAATAATATAGTATAGGGAACTGATATTTGCAAACCACAATCAATTCCCTGGGAATCTATTAAAAAATTCCCTGGGGATTGGGTTAATCCCTGGCTTCAACTATACAATAAATTAAATTACAGTCCCCTCAGAAAATACTGTCACTACTCAATATACTGGTAGTAAAACCTGTATATATGAACAATTAAGTAATCCCAACAGCTCCAAATATGAACATATTTTTTCATCCATGGACTTATGTTAGAAAGCTTGAGCTGTTTCAATGTCTCAAGTAAAGAAATGTGTATCTACAGTAGCAATGCATGGCTCAATCTAATTGCAGTATTAGACTTATTAAAGAAGAACAGGATGTGTGTTATGTGTCAGCTTATACAGATTTATGCACTAGAGGCAATCTGCGCGAGATTCCATTTTTTGGTTCGGTTTTTAGCGCATGCGCATTAAATCCAGCAATTTAATTGGTTTAAATTATTATCACGCATGTGCGATAAATAACTTAATAAGAAAATTTAATTTGAAATAGATGTCACTTACGTTCATTATTTCACAGCAGTCCCTACCCATAATGCACCATATATTGTGGGAAATTTTTTGATTAGTGTCAAAACAAAAAGTATACACCCAAAACAAATGTAATGACATAATATCAACCTGCCCCGGATTTGTAGACGTGTGTTGTACAAACTTAAACCGAACCGATGGCAGAAAAGCACTTTGAATCATGGGATGAAATACTTCCTTTAATGAAAAACCGAACCAAGTAAAAACCGAATCTCGCGCAGATTGCCCCGACTCGATTTATGTTATCTTGATTATTGGGCAGTTTAGAAATGGATGTGACCCACTTTAGCGGCACCTCCCCATATAGCCAATATATGGGAGTACCCCCCCAAAACAGGCACATGCTGACTTTATATTCTCAATATCATGATGAAATGAAGATTTGGTAGTGTTGGTGGTTCACCATCGTAAAGTTTGGGTTTTAGAACATCTTTAAATCCTCTAACATTGTTGTTTTTATGTCACCACCAAAAGTGCTGACATATTGTTATAGTCTCAAACTTTTTGTGGACAGAGATGCATTTGGTGATTAGTGTTCGGTGGTCAGTGTTTGGTGTCTGTAACAAAGAGCAGGTGGTAACATGAAATAGTTATCTGTTTGTAAACACATAGGGGTTGAAGTTTCGATTCTTACTATTACCATCATCATTCTATTATTGCATGTACATGTACATTTGTGCTCAGTTTAACAGGTTTTACGAGGGGTGATCAATAAGTAATGGACACATGTTTTGCTTTCAAATCTTCAGAGTTGATAGATAATTGAATGGTGTATCACTGGTAAGAAAATCAAAGGGATTCGTCTAGATAAAAAGCATCTGTGTAAAAAAGTGTCCATTACTTATTGATCACCCCTTGTACACAGCCAATATAATTCGACGCCGTTTCGGCATCGAAAAAATTCGGCACTGTTCCGGCACCGTTTCGACACCGTTCCGGCACCGAAACCTTCCGATACAAAAATTTACTACCGGACTAGTCAGTCCATTTGGTGCCGAGACGGCAGCGAAATTTGGCACCGAAACGGCGTCGAAAATCAGATTGCATTTTGGGAGTGTAGATGTAACTCTATGCATTACAAACATAGTCTCATTTTAACATGCACATGTGTTTTAAGAAGCTGCATTCTGAAACTGATAGAGGATGTGATTAAGATGAAATATTTCATAAATCTTCTTTTAATCTAGTTATTAGCTTAGAGGGTCATGGCAACCTATATAAGTAATCGTGAGATTTCTGCAGTTTCTTTAAAACTGGTTTATCAAACTTAGTAACGATATGTTTTTCAGTGCTATATTTGGGTCAATATGTCTCAAATTTTACTAAAAGTTGGATTTTTATATTTGATTTAATTTATTTGAATTGTACTGAGAAGTCATTAGAGCAAGCCATAATTGTTTTCTTAATGAAAAACTATACTATTAAAGGTTATTACAGATATATATATATATACCAGTATTTTAAATTTATTATTCAATATGCATATAACATTGTAAGATACCCTGCATGCAGAGTCTAGTTATAAACTACCCTCTGCCTAGCATCCACTATATTACAGTTTAACAACCTGGGCCCCACAATCGGTGCTTGTGACAGCCCAGGTCATAAATCATTTCAAATCTATCATGCTGACCTTTTTTCAACCAATCAGAAAACTGGATGGAATAAACGCTACATACGTTCTCATTAACTATGCAATGGTGTCGGAGGAAATGACCATATATAGAAAGTTGTCTGTATTTCGACGATGAGCTCTGATTGGCTCAATGAGATCTGAGATTTATTGTAAACTGAAAGAGTGAAGATGAAACTCTCTTTTAAAAAATGAAGTCGAACAAATGCAAAGGGTATTTTAAGAAAGAAGAGAGGGCTTATTCACATGAATATTCATTTGAATTTCAAACATGTTGTCAAACCTTACTGTCTTACCCTCATCTTTACTATTTTTGAAATTTTATTCATCAT